CTACCTTTGGCTACAGGAGGGCGCCTCCCGCCATGGGCTTCCCTCTGGGCTCCAAACATCCTAAGGGGGAGATGATCCATTACAGGCAGGCAAACAGTTGTCCGTCTTTTCTCTTTTTCTGTCTTGTTTACTACACAAGAAAGCCTTTGTCAAACCGCGCCCAAATTCATGGTAGAAAAATTAGAAAACCCAGACCCAAATGAAAGTTTAAAGTACCCGTAATCCCACCACTTAGAGATAAGTATTATTGACATGTGGAATGGACACTGCATTTTTCTCTCTGGTTTATACATACACAGCAATGTCTTTTTTTTTTATGGCCATAATGCTTACATTTTTGTTTTGTTTTTTACTTTTTTTAATAAATTTTTAAATTTTTTTACCTCATTGTTCTTTTTTTTTACTGCCAGTATTTTTTTTGAGAGTCATACACAAACTTTATTTTTTAATTTTATTTTTATATTCCCCATACAATTGCAACCCCCTTATTTTGACCCCAATCCCTCCTTTCCCCGATCCCCACCCCCTATAGAGTGTCTCTGGTTCATAGTTGTTTGTTGATTTTGATATTTTCTTTCTTATAGTTATTCGTTTTCCTGGTCCCTTATTTAAGTTTTCTAGATTCCTGCTATGAGTGAGACCATCCGGTATTTTTCTTTTTCTTTCTGGCTTATTTCGCTGAGCATGATCCCTTCCAGCGCCATCCATGTTGCTGCAAATTGCATGTGTTTATCTTTTTTGAATGCCGAGTAATATTCCATGGTATATATGTACCACATCTTCTTGATCCAGTCATCTATTTTTGGGCATTTGGGTTGTTTCCAAAGCTTAGCTATTGTAAACAGTGCTGCTATAAACGTAGGGGTGCAGGTGCTCTTTGGAATTGATGTTTCTGTGTCCTTTGGGTAAATACCTAGGAGTGGAATTGCTGGATCATACGGAAGCTCTATGTTTAGTAGGTCCAGAAATCTCCACACAGCTCTCCATAGTGGTTGGACCAGTTTGCACTCCCACCAGCAGTGCAGGAGAGTTCCTTTTTCTCCACATCCTCGCCAACATTCGTTGTTGCTTGTTTTTGTTTTGTTTTTTTTTTTTTTTTTTGATAATACAGCGATATCTTTTACAGGATTAAAAAAATAGTTTTATTAATTGAGGTAACATTGGTCTACAACAGCGTATATGGCTTAGGGGTACAGGTTCACACCTGTGTAGATGTATGCTATCATACCACATCCACCACGAAAGAACCCACCTAGCCCGGTGTCCCCCACCCCTTCTTTTACAGAATTTGGATCATTCTATAAACACTTTTTTCTAACTTGGGTTTTTTTTCCCCCACTTAAAAAGAGGGAACATTTTTCCAGCATAATAAACACACGGGAACCATCATTTTCAGTGACTTTCTTATATTTCTTAGGGTCCTTTATTGTTCAATATTTTACTTATTTAATTATCTAGTTCCTCATCGTTGGATATTTGTTTCCAATTTTTCACTATCATGCGTAACACTGCCATAGGGATGCATGTTTCTAGGACTTTGCTAGGCATTGCCAAATTGGCCCCCTGAAAGGTCGTACCTGTCTCCAGTGTCCCCAGTAGCTGAGTGGCAACGCCTCCCCTGCTGTGGCTGGAGACTCTCTCCAGCTGCCCAACCCCTGAGGGCAGGGAGACCATGGTCTCCTCGATTCTCCCCGACTGGGTGCCTTGGGAGTGACCTGGCCAGGCTGCACGGGTCCCGATGCCACAGTGGCCACCACCCTTCTCCCTGCCCCGGGCGCCTGGATGCCTTTCCGCAGGCCTGCCGCCCACACCAGGCCCGGCCAGCCCGCTTTTGAGTTATCGTGAGCCTCATTTCCCTTTACAGCTCCCATGGAGCTAACAGATGTACGCACGTCTGAGCCAGTCATGCGGCAAGAGACTTTGGGGCCAATCCTTCCCGTTTTGACAGTGTGTAATCGAGGTGAAGTCATAAATTTTATAAACAAGAACAAACGACCCTTAGCAACATATGTCTGCTCGACCCTTCCAAGGTGATCATAAATAAAGGCTCTTGCTCGCCGGGGAGGGCCGTGGGAGCCGCAGATGGCCAGTGACCAGCCCAAGAGCCTGTGCCTGGGGAGCGGCTGGTGTTGGGGGAAGCACCCAGAAGCCCAGGTCCTTGCTGCGTGCTTTCTGCCATTGGTCCAATCAGCCCTGAGGGCGCCCCTGCTCCTGCTCTGGTGCCTGCTTCTCACCCTTCTGTGGAGGGGGCAGCAGGATCCTCCTGGGATGGTGGGTGCCCTCTCCTCTCCCTGTGTCCCTCAATTGTCAATCACATCCTCATCACCACTGTCCTCATAACCACTGGCCCACTGGGGCAATCTGGAGACCAGGATCCCTCTCCTGGCTCTGTGGCTCCTCAGGGACCCCTCAGGCAGCACGAATCACCGTGGAGAGGTGAGAATAGGCTAGAGTTGGCAGATCCAAGTTCAAACCCAAATTTGCCTCTTACTTGCTGAGTGACAACGGCCAAGGTGTCGCCCCCTGTGCCTCAGTTTCCATGTCTGCAACAAAGATGCGAATTCCCTCCTGATGGGGCTGCTGTGGCTAGTGACGCTGGAGGCTGGCAAGGGGCCATGTGACACAGTTTAAAAACTCCACACACACGAGTTCCGCAAATGCCAGCTGTTCAGTGTGACATCCTTGTCACCATCACCACTGTCCCAGGCCACTGTGTGATTTTCAGCAAGTGACTTCAACCCCCTGAGCCTCGATGTCCTCAACTCTGAAATGGGGAGAATAACTGGACACACCTCATGTATCTCCATTGCCTAGAGCCATGTGACCTTGACTAAGTCATTTCTCTTCTCTGGCCTGTGTCTTCACTGTACATTGGGGGTATATTAATAGCACCACCTTCACCGGCTATTGAAAGAATTAAACAAAGTATTGCACAGAAGGTGCTTAGCAAGATGCCTGGACACCTTCAGTGCTCAGTTTGTAGCCATGATATTTACTGATGACAGCCTCAGTTTCCTCCTCTGTAAAACGGGGGCAGTGATCTTTGAGATCACTTCTGGTGCTCATGGTCTGCGGCCGTCACCTCTCCCTTTCGCTTTGGCACTGTGTTCCTGGAGTCCTGTCCTCCTGACTGACTGGGACCACCCCCTGGAGGCTGGTGGTCTCCCCGCCTCCAGCAAGTCCACTCAAGTCAGAGGCTCTGCGCACGGCACTTCATCTGGGGCTGAGCTCTTTGAAGTGCTTTGAAAAGTCTAAGACATGATCCCCTAACAAGCACAGCAGCCCGTGGTTGCTGGTCTCACTCTGCTCCAGGTGCAGGAGAGGAGGCTTGAGGCTCAGAGGGTTAAAGGAGTTACTCATGGTGACTCAGCTACACGTGGCAGAGCTGGAACTTGCATTCAAATAACAGTAATAATGATGCTAACATTTGTCAGGGGTTATGTTAAGCCCTTTAAGCTATTGCCTCATTAAACTATGCCAGTGGCTCTACGGGTGATGCTGGTGATGCTGGGTCCAGCCCCTATGGCTGATAAATATCATCACCCCCATTTCGTAGATAAATAAACAAGTTTTAGAAGAATGGAATGGCATCCCTGGAATCTTGAAGCTAGGAAGTGACAGGGCTGGTCTTGAACCTGAGTCTGCCTGAGGCCAGCCCAGGCTGTGCATTTGACGACTGTCACTGCCCTTTGCGACTTTGCAGGCATCAGAAGTCTCCCAGCAGCCATTTTACAGGCCAGCCCCAAACGCTGGGCCTCTCCAAACCCGCAAAGAAGCTGTGGATCAGATTATCTCCTGAAGAGGGGGCCGCAGGGGTTATCTCCGGCCAGGGATTCTTTAGGATCTTCTAGGGAACTTGCACACAGCCTTGGCCAGAGGATTCTGAATCGGTAGAATGGGGAAACACAAGGGGATCCCCAAAGTTCCTGAGGGCCCCCAGGCTGCCTCTACATGGGCGCAATCACTGACTACCAGTGCAGAAAAGCAGGGGCCAAGGCAGTCAGCACTGCTCTGAGGAGCAAGATGGGACAGCCTGGGCCCAGCATCGCCAGGAGACTCCCAGCAGACTCCTGTCTGAAGCAGGGATGAGCCACAAATCCTTCCAGGCACTGATTTATGTAGCATTCATGCGGAATTCATTATACAAAGAATTTTATTCAATTAAACTTGAAATGCGTCTGGATTCTTAAAGGTTCAGTAGCGATAACTGGGACAGGAGCGATCATAAAACCGGATGGGCTGTCGGGGGAGGGCGTGGGGAGGCGGCAAGGGTGACATTGCAGCTGACGGGGCTTCGGAACCGGGGACGTTTGTCATTGGGATGTTACAAGTTCGGGCTGTGAAAATTACTTGGTGAAAAATGCACATTAACCATAGCCATGAAATATCAGTTAAGGGAAAGCAGCTTGAGAAATGAGACAGCAGGACATATTAGTGCCTGATATTGTTCTCCGCGGCCCAGGTGATGATGAAAACGACTGTCAGGCGGCGGCGGGGCAGGGAGGAGCACTGGGCCAGGAGTCACAAGGGCACATCCTGGCGCTGACTCCCCAAGACAAGCTGTTCCCCTGAGCCGGCTTCCTCTTCTGCAAAGCAAGAGAGCATAGCGAGCCTCACCCGGGGCCGCCCTCATGCTGCCTGAGCCCCCGGTGCCGACTGGCTCCCCATCACTGTGGCTTTCTCTCCATGGAATCGCCAGCCACACACTCGTCTCCGGCAAGGCCGCTAATGCTGCTCAGAGAGCCAGGCCTGGATCAGAGCGAGGCACCTTCTGGGGTGCCCACCAGATGGGAGTGCCAACTGCCTTTAGTAATGAAGAGGATTAATCCTTTCAAGCAATACTTTTAAAATTCAAAATTTTGCAAAAATGAGATATGTATTTTCCACCTCCCCAAAATAGTCTAGCGCCCATAGGCATCCCAACAAATAAAGAACGCCCAGCCCGCGGCATCCCGGCCGGGCACCCTGGGCAGCAGGCCCTCGTGCAGATGGACTGGGCGGTGTGCACGCAGAGTAGGCAGAACCGGCCTCGAGAGTCGCGTTTTGGTTGTCACGATTTTATCAGCTTTTCCTGATGGCCTCCACACGCGAAGCTACTTGAGAATGTACAGAGGTAGTTTTCCTTTTGCTTAGGCTCCACTAGGGCTGAGGAAGGCCCCACTGAAGAGTGAGTGTTTTGAATCAACCCCCAAAGCAGAATTCCTGTTCTTCCCAGGCTGGTGGGCCAGGATGCCAGCTCCAGTGGTGCCAAGTCCTCCCCGCGCCTGGGCGTGTTTCTGGGGGAAACTGTTAGTGAGGGGAAGACACAGGTAGGGCCTGGGAAGCTGAGGGGCTGACATGCCTCCTGCGACAGGCCCTCTCAGCAAGAGCTGGTGGGGACAGGATCTGGCAATAGGCAAACTGCCTTGTTTCCAAAATGGCCACTGTGGGAGGCTGGATTTCCCCAAAGAGCTCTCCTCGTCCTTTGTGGGATATGTCCTACCGTGGCCAGGAGTGTGGGCCAGGAGTATGTGCCCTGCTTCTTCCTCGAAGATGGGGTGTAGACAGAACTGAGTGATTTGCTGCAAGCTCCCCCTGGGTCACCTGCATACCTGTCCAGCAGAGAGCCCCCCTGAGCCTCTCCTGAACCTGCGTGTTTTGCTGTGTTGTGGTCACACACCCCGAGTGCCTGCAGGGTCTCATGAACCAGACCTAGCGCTAATCACTGCGCAGGGAACCCTGGAGGGGCCTTCACTCGTAGCCCTCTACAGCTCAGCCACTTGCCCAGCCTGAAAGGCCACCACTCTGACCAGGGACAGAAGGACCCAGAAGGGGCAAGATGGACCTGTTCCTCAGATAAAATGAGCAGGTGAGGGGGCTAGGATAACAGCCACAGGCACACGACTCATCATTTCAGTGCTTCCTGACCTGCCAGCCAGGACAGCGGAGCCACCCGCCATCCCCAGCCCCGCTGGCAGCCTCACGCTAAGCACTCGGTGAAGAAATCGTCTAATTGAGTTCGCCGGGCATTTCGGCCCCAATGGTTAGCAAAAGCTTGCCCTTCCGAAGACATGTCCTGCAATTAGCAGCAAGGAATCTTGAGGTTCTGAGGGCTGCCTCTTCAACCTTCATAAATATCCCTCTTCCCAAGGACACAGCTGGCACTGGCAGTGTAGCTTCCTAGCAGGAGGGAGCAGTGGTGACAAGTGAAATAAAATACAGTCGTGGCACGGATCTCAGAGGCATAAACCAGCCAAGTGCAACACCAGAGAAATCAGTCTCAACCGTGTCAGCCTCAGAGGAGAAGGTCTGCCTCATACTCTCCTCCTGGGCCCCTCCACGCCCTTGCCTGGCTGGACATGCCCTCTGCTAAGTGGTGGTGTTTCTTGCTCCAGGCTCTGCTCCTTGACGGAGGAAGGCTCCCCCCTTGGAAAGACCACCGTCCAGGCTGCACCCCACCACACTCTCCAGTCCAGGTGTTTCCAAGGCCACGCCTGCCAGTCAGCAGCTGTCTGCCCCCCACTTTGGTGGTGATAGGTGGCTCAGAGGCGGCTAAACTTCCAAATCCTGCCTGCTTTCCTCTTCCTAAGTGTGACATTTAAAGCCCCTTTGGCACAGGTAAATCCCGGTTACACGTGCAAGGGCCGCTGGTACTATTCCAAATCCTGAACAGCCTGCGCTGGCAGTGACAGGGCTCGCCCGCTCTGCACCCCCATCCCCCACATGTGCACACACGCAGCTCAAATCTTTCCACTTTTATTTTTTTTCTGTGTGGCGCCTCAGCACAGCGACCACCTCGCCTCTCTTCTTCAATACCAAGTTCATTCCCACTTCCTCAGAGACCCGGGGGAGGCCAGGGGAGCAGGACTGGAATTCTGGAAGCACCGCAGCTCTGGAGGGAAGTGGCAGGTCAGAAAGCCGTCCAGACAACAGACCAGCGTCCAGCCCCTCTGGTGAGGCCTCCAGACACCAGGACCCCGAAGGGCAACCTTCTCTCCACCGTCGTGACCAGGGAGGGATCCACCAAGCCCCCCTTTCCAGTATTTCCCCGTGCCTCAGGCTTGGTCCGACGGGTCATTTTTCTTGTATATTTTTTCTTGATTCCCCTCCTTCATGGCTGCATATCTGGCTAATGTGAAGAGATAGTCGCTGAGTCTGGAGGGGCAGAGAGAAGCCAAGGGAATGATTTGAAAAGAGAGATCAATGCTAACTGGGTCTTTCTCATATTAGCCTTCAAGAAGGAAATATAAATCACTTGCCCCAGGAGCAGCGGGCGGGACAGCGGGTGTTCAGCCAACTTGGGCTTGATGGATGGCACTCGGGGCCAGCTTCCACGAGAGCCAAGCGCCCGACTCCGGCGCCAGGGCTGGGGTGGGGCCTGCGGGAGAGGCTGCCACCCCCATCTGCCTGTACAGAGCTGACTGTGCACATTCTTTCCAGGGGCCAGGACTGGCGCCCCTGCACCGTGCCCTCGCTCAGTCTCTCACGGGGGACAGGGACAGTGCCCCCACTGCTCCCAGCTGCATCCCCATGCCTGGCACACGGCAGCCCCTCAGTGGGGTCACGGAGCGAATAAATGTGAGTGAACACTCCTAGGTCCACCCCGCCACTGTCCTTTTCCATAATGTGCCCGGTGATCAAAGAGAGACTGTGAGTTCCATCCCAGTACCTGTTTAAGAACTTGGCAACATTTGCATCCGTCTCGCCCATCTGGACAAGCGGCACCACGCTGGACGGAGAGGAAACACGTCGGAACATGATTGGAACATGATCGGAAACACATTACAGAACATGATCGGCCGCACCGGGCCAGCAGCTCACTCAGGAGCCGCTTGACCAAGTCTGCACCAGCCCACCCGGGGTTACAGTTGGGGAATCATTACCAGGGGGTCCAAGCAGAGCCCCCCATCTCCTCTCCCATGGGCTGTCACATGAGGGCCTGGTGGGGACAGCTAGGGCTGCAGGGAGATGACTCGGCCTCTACCACACCCGGTGCCGCTGGGCCTAGGTCTGGGGTTCCCTTCAGGTGAGAGTCAGTCACCAGCCTTTGAAGGAAGGTGGAGTCTGACCCATAATTCCCAAGGAGCTGCCACTCTTGGCCCCTTTTAAGTGGAAACTTAGAGCAACTTCACAGGGGAGAAAAAGAACCAAGCAGGCAACCTCCCAGTTCCATGCATGATTCCGGGGCCTGCTGTGCCTGTCTGCCTGGCTGTAGCAGTTCTGGACGGTGGACGGCTGTTTGCCAAGTCCCAGCGACGTGGCACGCCCTGACCAGGCCTTCCGTGCACGGAAACTCTGCTATACAACCCTTGTTGGGAGGCGCTCTCCCCAAAACTGAGGCTCTGGGTTTGTATCCCCGCCCAAATCCGCACCGCTGGCTAGCGGCCTAGGCAGGGTGTGAGGCCTGCCCTGAAAAGCCCGGCCACCTTCCCAAGCTCCAGGCTGCAGTTGCCACATCGCAGGGGCAATGGCTTTTCCACCCTGCCTTGCCGGTGCATCTCACAGGCCTGTCTCACCTCCCTGTGTGGTGCAGGGGCACCCACCCCTGCTTGGCATTCCTGTTCTCAGGCCATTGTGTCGCCAAGTCTGGGCTATCACGAGCACTGCTGATGCGGACGCCTTTGTGTGAACGACTTCGAGGCCGAGGCTCTTTCTCATCACCCCCTCACAAGCCACCTGGGCTTACGAGCCTTTCACAAGGATGGGCTTTTAGGATGTGGGGTGATGGGGAGAGCAGGGGTCTGGGCGAGACAGACCTGGGCTCAAATCCGGATGGTGCCATGGACCACTTGGGGGACCCTAGATTTTGTCAGCTCCTTGAACCCCAATTTCCTGACTCCTGAAAAATGGGGGCTGCCACCAACTCTTTCGCAGGGTTATCATGAGGAGTCAAGGGCCCAGCCCTGTCTATTCTATCCAAGTAGGGCCTTATGCCCCTTTTCCTGGAAAGCCGGGGAACAGCATGCACTGTGTGCGGCATCAATGGAGATTGTGCAGTTACTCTTTTAAAATTTCCTTGAAAAGGCTGTCAGCAGCGGTTGGAGGTCCCTGGCTCTCTGACTTGATGGAGCTGGGGCAGTAGTGGCTGGTGTGGAAACATCCACTTGGGCCCCCACGGTCTATGGGGCCCCGCACTGTCACCCATGGCCTACAACCTATTGGTGCTTTCTGCTACTCTCAGGATAGAGGCAAACCACTCTGGCTTCATCTTGCTCCACGCCTCCAGTCAGCTCAGGCCACCCTGTCTAAAGCAACCCCCAGGATGGGGCAGCTGGGCAGAAGGGCAAGAGGATTCTCACTGAGTACCCTTGTGAATTTCATGAGCATGTTGTTACAAGTAACCAACTGAACCCCTAGACCCACTCCCACCGTTCACCCTGCTCCACGCCTGTCCCCACAGCTCTGATCCTGAGGTGTGGTTAAGTCGTCTTCCCTGCCTGGTCCCTCCACAGCACAGGGACAAGACCTGGCCTGCTCCTGCTCCGATAGAGCTGCTCACCGTCGCTCAGCTCGGCGGCACACGGCCCGGCACAAGTGCAGTGCGGCGCTGCTCCTGCCTCCCGACTGGAAGGAGAACATGGGCGTCAGCTGGGACTGGGGGCGGGTGGATGTGCCCACTGCAGGCAGGGGGTATCTGGGATGGACAGACAGACAGGTCTCCCTCCAAGGGGGCTCACCGAGCACCCCTCCAAAGTGGGCAGGGCTGGGGAGCATCGCTGAGGGTCTAGAGGGGGCTTGGGGGCGGGAGTACAGTTTCTGTCACTGTTGAGTCAAAGAGGGGTCCTTTTCAACCCAATACTTACGGGCAGAATAAACGTGGTGAGAGGCGGGAGCTGGCTGGAGTACTTGTCGATCCACTGCTCCAGCTCCAGGACAGGGCCTGCCTGGAATGCGGTTTGTTCTGCAGAGTAAGGAGTAGAGGGAAGCTGACACCAGGCCCACAGCCCCGGGGGCACCAGGGAAACTGTCCTTGTGATCCCTTGCCCACGTGCCCTGCAACCACTTCTGCTGGCCTGAAAGGTACCTTCCCCCCCAGTGCCTGTGGGCAACAGGTGCCCGGTGACACCCAGGAGAACGCTCTCCCCACCCCCCAGCAGGGCCCACACAGGGGGTTCAGAGAAAGTTACTTAAATGAGCCTCCCGGGATGAGGAGCGGGGCGTGGCCAAGGCGGAGCCGATGTCCTGCAGCGAGCACTGGATCTGGGGAAGCAACAGAAGGTGCAGGTGAGGACCTGTTGGTGGCGGCTGGACAGACATGGCGATCCATGTGCAGGTGCCACCTGACACGCAGCAGGCACTCGGGCTGGTCTGCGGGGGCCTGTTGGAACCTCTAATTAGCTGGTATTTAAAAGCTAATTAGTAAACTCTGTCAGAAGCTCTAGCATGATACCTATGGTGGGCACCAGCCTCGCACCCTTGGGGGCAGCAGGGTGATGCAGAAGACAGCAGCACCCGCTGTTGGTCAAGGGGAACTTTCTCATCCTGACCCTTGTCTCCCATGTATCTGGGTCGTCGAAGGTGCTTTCTTTTCTCTAAACTGAAAGCTTTGGTTTTCTAACTTGCGAACATTGGGTCAAGAGGCCAAACATGCCAGTGGTTTGTCGACTACAAAGGACAAAGCCTGTGCGAACGCGGTCAGCAGGTGCCTGGAGCGCCCTGGGAGCAGGAAGCGAGGCGGGGGGAGGCCTGTGCTACAAGGGGCAGGAGCACCGGGGTTGCCTGAACAGAGCTGAGCTGTGCTGCCAAGACTCCAGGCCCCAACACAAAGAAGACCCAACAGACACCTGTGCCCAGACCACAAATGCCACCTCTGCCTTGGTGCCTGCCTGGGCTTCACTCAAGCTGTGTGGCAGGCTGTGGGGAGGTCTGTGATCTTTGATAAGAGGGCCACAGCGACAGCATGCCGGGAGCGGTCACGGCAGATGGGGGCAGAGGCTGCACACAGCAGCGCTGGAGGAGAAGTCTCTCTGGGCCACTGACCAGTTGACCTGGGGCAAGTTTCCGGACCATTTAGTGTGTCCCTACAGCTTTCCATGGAAGGGGCAGTGATAATACCACACCTTGGCTGGCCACCTGTCGAGAGGTGCACTACTTTGGGAAGTGGATCCCAGCTCACTGATTGCTGAGTGTGGGAATCACACTTTTCCTTGGGGAAGATACCCATCCTAAGCTTTAGGTCTTTCCTCTAGAACACAGAATTAACTTCCACTTCGTGGGCTTCTGTGAGCATCAAACAGGGTGATGTAAAAAAAGCAGCCAACACACTGGCGGGTACCTTTCTGCCAGCCCGGCGAGTAGCCCCCAGGGCCAGGCCGGGCTCCCAGGTAGACACTTCACAGCCCAGGTCCGTAGGGTACCCGGGACAAAGAGGGACAGCTGGCAAGGCAGGCAAAGAGCCCAATGGCCTGTCTGCCTGTGAGCTAGACTCGGGCAGTCATCCCTCATCTGTTCCAAGGACATGGCCTCGTGTGCGAGCTATGGTGTGGGATGAACTGCTGAGGTGATTCGGGTGGCACCTGTGATTGAAAGTGTTCAATCTCCAAGTTCAAAGACTTTGAGATTTGGGAGGAGGGTGTACAAAAAATATATTTGTCACGCAGCTGCCCAAGACAATGCTTTGTTAAGTTTCCTGTTCGTTAAACCACTACCTGCCGATCCAGAGCAGCCTGCCCCATCTTCAGCCTCTCCCTGCCATCTACGTATTAGCCAGGTGACAGCTGGACACATCTGTGTGGTGCCTCAGCAGGGACACAGGCAGGGGCCTTGGGGAGCCTGCTGTTTGAGGGGTGAGCAGGAAGCCATTGCAGCCTGGGACAGATGCCTACCCCAGGGACGTGGGAGTGGCCAGGGAAGGCCCTGGAGCTGATGTTGAAGCTGTGACCTAAAGGCCAGGGGCCTAAAGAACAGGGACTCAGCCCCATCCCGCCCCACCCTGAAAACTTGCTTGGAGATAAGCACAGCACCCAGAAATGACCAAGGTGGATGTGACGGGTCCATTTCGAGGGTAAAGACCTCCCTCCATTACACAGGAGGCATCTCATTTCACAGAATGTTCTAGCAGCTGAGCCTCCATCCTTCTGCAGTCCCTTTACTGCTGTTTGCTGGCAGCGGGCTCCAGAGGGCTCCTGCCTGGCCTGCAGCCTACAGACTGAGTAGCTTTGGTCCCAGGGCTGACACTCGAGGGAGCAGTTTGTAAAGACTTGAGTCAACCTGTGTACTGAAACCCTGAAACGATCACATCCTGTGCATTCCACAGGGTCATCCCAGGCTCCACTCACAAAATTCTCTCTGTGGGTTGGTGCTTCCACTGCTCCTTAAGGAACAGAACCAAAATACTACCCATCAGCCCCTGGCTGAGATCTTACTGTATGTAGCTGTGTTTCCTCGGTTGTATGACCTCAGTGCTCTTGACACTGGGGGCAGGGTCATTCTCTGTTGAGAGGGGACAGGCCTTGTCCTGTGCCCTGCGGGATATTCAGCTCCACCCCTAGCCTCTAGCCACCAGATGCCAGTGGCACCCCCACTTCCAGTTGTGACAACCAAAAATATCTCCGCCCAACTCCAAAAGTCCCCTGTGGACAGCATCGAGCTGGGGAGAGATCACTGTCCTCTATGTTTCCCTCGAGTGCAGTCCTTACCACCACCACCACCACATCTCTGTAAGTCCTTATTTCACAGATAAAGAAACTAAGGCTCACAGAGCGCGCATGACAAGCTCTGGGTGACACAAAGAGGAGGTGACGGTCAGATGGCAATTCCAGTTGTGGTGTCCAGGCCTCAGGCTTTAAAAAAAAGTCCCAACTGGGCCTCCCTGGTGGTGCAAGGGATTAAGCACAGCACTGTGAAGCTGTTCGCTATGGGGAGCCATGCTACTCATGTCGTCTGACAAAAGTCCGGGCATGGGGCAGATTTCTGAAAAATCAGGAATCTCGTTAGCTGACTCCAAGATTCTCCTCATTTGTTTATGGCTAGTTTCTACCATTGCTAAAATACGCACTTAAAAGTAAAACTGCAAATACTGATCAATCACTGAATAACCAATTTGATGACAAATGGCACTGCATGATACAAATATTACAGTTTTCATAAAATTGGTAGTCCTCTGCCAAAAAGGCAGCCATTCAACATTTGGCTTTACCTTAACCAGTGAAAAAACATCTGGAAACAAAAGGTTGTAAACATCTATCGGCCAAGTCTTTGATATAGAGATGTGGTCTCTTGAGGCAAGAGCTCATTGGAGAAAGAAATTCCTTGACTTTAAAGTTAAAGATAAAGATAACAGTTGGGTGGCAGAGGCGAGCCATGCTCCAAGTATAAGAAGATTCCTGATAAACCAGGAGACAGCCATAGTTGACTCCTGCTAAATTTTTCCTGTTTGTTTAGGGCTAATTCCCTAGGACGTCACAATTGGTATGATAGTTGTTAGAGTGTGCATTCAAGAATAAGTCAACAGCAATTTGTGAATGGTTGAGCTATTAACCACGGCAGCACAAATAACACACTCGGAAATGGTCAATGTTACAACTACTGATATGTCACATATTGACCATTTTTTGAGAATCAAAGGCTACAACCATCTCCGCCCCTACCCCTGATTAAATATTTGTAGTTCCTTAAAACAACAACCAGCAACCTTATGAAAAAGAAAATTGCCCCTTGATCTTAAAGTTAAATACGGAAACTAGGCTGACTAGATAGCAGAGGAGTGATAGGTAGAAAATTCTTTGTGTAGATTAGGAGACTTCCTCCCTTCATTGAGAGCTGGGGGCTAGGGAAGAGTCAGTGCGGCTTGCCTGGCATGAACGCCCTCCAGGCCCTTGGTTCCTTAATATCAAATCAATATTAAAACAATATACTATAGATGATGATTTCTATATAAAAGTCTTCTGTTTTTTTTACTTTAATCAATTAGTTAGATGTTAGTCTAAACTTTATAGGTTAGTTGGAAATAATCTCTTTGTCTCCCACCCCCCAGGTAACTTCCTGCCCTTTGTTTCCCTCAGCCCTTAGTTAATTGTTCACCATGACAAACTTAGAATTGTTAGTTGCAGACACATAGGCTTTTTTGCTAGTAATACAATAACTGTTGGATTGTAAATAATTACTTTGAAAACATTTGTTTAGCAACTGTGCCTTCTTTAAGACAAAGAATAATAAATGTTACACCTCTGCCGAAGGCAAACAGACCCTTGGCTGCTCCTGAAAAAGAACATGTGATGATTATTACCTTCCTACCTTATGCTTGTGCACTCACGATTTGCTTAGTATAAATATAGGGCTGCTGAGACCCTCAGCAGGATGACGTCAGCACCCTGATCAAGTGTCTGCGTCTCCTCATTCTCCCATCCCCCTCCCTTACCATTTTCTCTACAATTGCACCGACGCCTTCCCATCCTTCAGGAACCCCTGACACCCAGACTGCTGCGGCTGGCTCGCAACAGTTCGCAGCCTCGCAACATGAGTTTGATCCCCGGCTGGCCAGAGAGCAACCCATATGGAGCAGTAGACCTCTCCTGTCTCACCCGCTGCTCCCCTCCGCAGTGTATTTCAGTCAGTCTGCCTGTTCTGTTCCCCACTCTGTCTCTGGTGAGTCCTCTCACCCCCCACACCTCTGGCCTGTACCCAGTTCTTGTATGCATAAATATATAAATCTTTAAAAAAAAAGTCCCAACTGTGGTAAAACTGGGGTAAAAGGATGCTACTCACTTTCTGAAGCTCTTCAGCAAAAGGGTGACCCTTTTCTGTGATAAATTCCATAGCGAACCTAGGAGGAAAAAGGAGAGAGAATGTGCCTCTGCTGTAACATCCCAGGCCCTGTCCGACCGCGAGGCGGCACATCCTCAGGGGTGGTCATTTGGCTAATAAAGCTGTGGTAGCCTCAAGATTATTTTTCTTGCTGACAATAAGAACATCATAACCTCCCATTTGCATAGTTGTGTCTGTTTCTCAGAGAGCCTTTTCTTACAGTCATTACTCAGCCAGTCTACTGTTCCTGGTAGAGTGCCTGGTCTAGCGAGGCCCTGTGAACAAAAGGGACATGGGTTCTGTTCAGCAGGTGAGGGAGATGTGAATCGATCTCACATGAATGAAGGGGAAATAAAAAGTGAGGCCAGCACTCTGAAGGAAAGCGAGGGTCCTGGGAAGTTTGGTCTCGGTGAGGGTTCAGGGAAGGCTTCCTGGAGGAAGCGACACCAGAGGTGGGACTTTGAAGGCTTCATGGTAAAGTGAGGCAGGGAAAGCCAAGTGCTCTTCTGTAGGTCAGGACAGGCTCTGGCCTCCCTCAGAAGTCCCCTTCTGACCAGTCAGGTCCAGGCAGGGAACAGACAGGGTGCCTTCGAAGGGTTCCCAAAGAAAGTCACATACATCAAGGGACAATTCACAGGGTGTGGGAACAGTTGTGGCCACTGACAATGGACGGCAGATGCCACAGCAGGAGCTTGAAGGAACAAGAGAGGCAGACAGCATTCCTAATCCTGGAGAGAACTGGATTCTGGGTGAGTCCACAGCCTGGAGCCCGAGGGCGGGGAGAGACATGGAGGCCACAGCCAGAGCCACCACACTGCTGCGGAGAATAACAAAAATCCTCCCACACCCCTCTCCACCCACAGTCCCACCTGCTGTGGGCGTCTCCCCTTGGCTGGACCCTCTGTAAGTCAGAGGACAGGGAACTGGGATGACCGGGGAACAAAGGTTAGCCTCCTGGGCACAGAGACAAAGAGAAGGTGGAGGAAATGGCTTTGAAATCTCAAAATGAAGAGCCACCACTTAGAAGGAAATAAACAAATGTATAACTCACTGTCTAGTGCCAGTCTTCTCTGGACAGAGAAGATGCTGCATGCCTGTAGATGCTCAAGAACATCCACTTACTGAAAAAATTCCCGGGACCAGCCCAGAGAGAGGCCCCCCTCCCCGCCACAGCCCCCTGCACCCAGACTGTGGCTTGTGAAGGCCGGGCTGAAGCTCTCTGCTTATTAGTGCCTGGTGCATGGAGCTGTTTGATCAACATCTGACAAAGGGAGACCCCACGAGCGAGGTTCCCCTGGTCTCCAGCCCCATGTGGACTGGGGGATGGCGGCTCACTGATTTGCTGATTCTGAACAGCTCATGCCAGAACTCACCCACCTGCCTTCCCCTCTGCCCATGTCACCTGGTGTCCGCCCTCTGCGCCCCCAGGTTCCCACATACACCAAAGGGGGTGCCTTCTCTACTCTGCTGGCAGACTAGCCCCCCTGCTCATTATCTGTTTGAAAATCTCACCCAGTCAGGCCTGTGATTGAGAAGCAGAAGCCACAAACAGGTAAGTTTTAATAATGATGAAAGTAACAGCTGACCTAATTATTTCTTGTACTAGGCTCTGTCCGAAGGGTGAAGCATGGAATGATCTCATCAAGCCTCATAAGAAACCAACAAGATGCATATAGAAGAGGAAAGTAAGGCTCAGAGAGACTAAGTGATTTGCCTAATGTCACACAGCAATCAGCAGTGATAGAATATTTTAACCCAAGGTCTGCTGATACCCATGTCTTTCACCCACAGAACATGTGAATCAGCATTTCAGGAAACTGCCGCTCACGCTATTGACAGTGTGCTGTGCGTGGTGGGCTGGACAACTGTACTCAAATATTTACAGCCCTTTCTACCTCACTGCTGTCAGGGGAGGCGTGTACTTGTGACTGACTCTGGCCAGTAAACTGAGCAGATTTAATGTGTCATGTTACCAAATCTTTCTTCCCTCTGGCATGATTACTGGTGCTGTCTGGAAAGTGGCTGTCCTGCTGGTTGGATACAGAGTAAAGGCCACCTGGAGCAGAAACACATACCACCTGTGATGGACAGGTAAGAGGGTGAAATACACCTCTGGTGTCGTAAGCCATGAGAATTTAGGGTTTTTTGTTATCACAGCATGACCTGGCTGGTCCTGACTAATGTGGAATTTGTACTCCTATGTTTATTGCAGTGCTACTTACAATAGGTAAGACACGGAAACAACCTAAATGTCCTAAAACAGATGACTGGATGAAGAAGATGTGGTATATATACATTTTAGTTTAGAACTAATGTTCTAAACTCTGACCAGTATGTGCTAATTTAGAGGATGAGACTCACAAAAGGGATCACATCGAGTGCTCTGTGTACTGTGCTCAACTCACCTCTTTCACTGAATATGTGCTTCCCGGTGCACACACACTCACTTGAAGAGCGAGGCTACCAGGGATGGCAGGGCAAGTCAGTGTGATGTGGCCAGGACAGCAGTGCAGGAGCAGGCAGGGCCACAGGGCAAAGATGTCTACATCTTGTGAGGCTGATCAGACCTCTCTGTGCTTCCAGGCTGAGGCCTGAAGCCTCCAGGACCAGCCCACATTCTCTGAGGCTCCATGTTCATTGCCTTTACTAAAGCCCAATTCAAACTCTACCCCAAAGCCAATCTCAACTCCCTTACCCAATAGCTGAACTTAATTCATCCGTAGTTCCCAAGGCTTCAAACACTTGGTCATCTTTGGGTCTTCTTTCTCCAGTGAAGGTGCTAGAAAATCCTGTGAAAAAAACATTTAGCCACCCAAATTAATATTTTTTTCCCCTCATACGCTCTTTTTAAAAAACTTTTCATTGAAAGTATAACATTCACACAGAAAAATGCTCAAATCATAAGTGCACAACTAACTGAATATGCCTCAGTGATCAGCAAGAAACAGCCTGACGCTAGAAGCATCCATGTACTCCCTTTCAGTTGCTGGCTCCTAAAGGTGATTAACCCTCATTTCTTTCCTGAAATGTTTTTATTTTAAGCTTTAAAGCCATGCACTAACCATCTTGCCAAAGAAATAAAACACAGGTGTACATGTTATAAACACATTCTTGGTATTACACATTCTACTGCACATAAGATGAAAGTCCTTTGTACCTCTGCCCGGGACATATTTCCCACATTTCCCCCCCAACCACTTAGAAAGAGAAAACTTGCTCCTGATAGTCAGGAGCTGGCTCAGTACTCTACCAGCTGGGCTGTGGTACTGCTGGTGCTGGCCTGGCCCTCACAGGTAGGCAACGGTGTTGCTGAACATACGATTTCATGGAACACCCACAAACCTGCGACTCTGATGACAAATCAAGATCCAACAAGACCACTCCATAATTGTGTCTGAGCAGAGAACACCGTCCAAGTGATTAAAAAGGAGCAAATTTCCCTCTTTCCTGGCCAATGCAAGTGACTGCACTTTATCAATTACGGCTCTAGCCCTCTTGGTCCCTTCCACCTTGCAGATACAAATGATTAATACCCAATTAAAGAATTTGTTCTTGTAGAGGATGTGGAGAAAAGGAACCCCTTTACATTGCTGGAGGGAATGTAAACTGGTCCAGCCACTTTGGAAAACCATGTGGAAGACCCTCAAATTATTAAAAATGGAGGTACCCAGCAATTCCCCTCCTAGGAATCTACCCAAAAGACACAAAGACATTAATTAGAATGGAAATTTGTACTCCCATGTTTATTGCAGCACTACTTACAACAGGTAAGATACGGAAACAACCTAAATGCCCTAAAACAGGTGACTGGATCAAGAAGATGTGGTATATATGCACAATGGAATACTACAATACTACTCAGCAATTAAAAAAGATAAACTCATGCATTCGCAGCAACATGGATGGAGCTGGAAGGGATCATGCTCAGCGAAATAAGTCAGAAGGAAATAGTAAAATGTTGGATAGTTTCACTTATAGGAGGAGTATAGGGGAATCAAACAAGGGGTCAGGAAAAAAAAAGAGACAAAACTAGCTGGCAAACTATAGAACTGAGACATAGTGCAGGGGACAGGAAGGGAGAGGGGTCAAAAAAGGGGAGGGAAGAGCAGAGTGATGGCTCATGGGTGATCTGGTGGTGGGAATTTTATGTGGATTATACCTGATGGGAGAAATCAAACATGAACAACAATGTAAAAAAAAAAAAAAAAAACAAAATTAAAAAAAGTTCGCCCTTGTGTACTGTCAGTATATAATCTAGAGCAAAGCCCCACCTCCCCCCACAAATTCTCCCCAAATCACCTAACATAAGCCCAAGTCTAGAAATCCTTTCCATCACCCTTTGCCTGATCTGCCCCATAGCTCCCAAGGGTGCTGTCTCTGTAGTCGTCATGATCTAATGGACCAACTTTGACCAGCTATTGTTCCTGGAGGTCTTTGACTGGCAGGCACCAACACTACCTTTTTGATACTTGTCATTCTCTGCACGCTTTCTTTCTTTTTCTTATTGACATAATATATTTATAAACACAAAATTTACCACTTGAAGCATTTTTAAATGTACAGTTCAGTGGCATTGAACACTTCCTATGCATATTTTTATATGTTGCTACCTGAATATATATTCCCCCAAAATACATATACTAATGATCTGTACAGTTTTAAACTTTAGGCGATAGTATCATATTGACATAGTCTTCTGCTTCTCACTTCTTCTGTATAGCATTAGGTCCTGGTATTTTTTTTTTAATTATCAAAGTAATACGTGCACCTTACAAAAACAATAAATAGAATGGAAGTATGTCCAATAACTCACGAAAGCCTCTCTGTTCATTCCCCTTTCCCACAGCTCAATCTTTCTCCCAGATGTGACTTTTTTAGGTGACAGCCATGCTCCACATGACGACATTTTGGTCAATGAGGAACCCCATGTATAAGTGTTCCCTAAGTCTCACCCGTGTAGCAGGTATCCAGGTTCATGTAATTACACTGACATTTGCACATGATGAAATGGCCCAATGACACATTTCTCAGAAGGTAACTCCATCATTCAGGGAAGCATGACTGTATTCTCTGCATATCTGAACACATGTGTAAATATATGCACACATGCACATTTTTAAATCGATGGATTCTAATTACTTAGACTGCCCTGTAACTTGTTTTTATCACTTCACAGATCTTAAGTATTTTTTATTTCACATCATACTCTCATGAGGTATGAGGTCTACTGTTACATACTTTTTAATGGCTGCAAAGAATTTGGAAGAACTTTAAAAGGAGCCTGCCACATCTTTCTTTACATTCTTCACTTGTCCCCACCCTACCTTTGTCTCCTGTTTTGGTGTAAATCTTGGGGATCTTGGGTTTCTTCAAGGAAGGCTGTGGCCTAATAAGAAATAGACATCAAGAGGTGGTGATTGGGGATGGCGTATAATGCGGGGAGAGGGGCAGCTCCTTAGTGGGTCTCAGTTTGCTGCTCACAGCTTCAGAGGCAACACTTACCCACCTCTGCTTGGATCTCTTATTGACACCACTTCCCTCTATCCCTCTGAGCTTTAACCCTCTAGTGGACCATCTCTGTGTTTTTCCCACATCCAGAGTTGTTGATGTAGTGTACTATTCAATGCAGATGGTCAATAAACACTTGCTGAAATAACCAATCATTTTCTATAGTCCCTGCATTGTGCTAGATGGATTACTGTGGGCCTCCCTGGTCCCTAGCGCAAGGGGTTGGGATGCAACCTGTGGGGCTGTCCACGGCTGCTGCAGCACGAGTTCGATCCTCCGCCACGGAGCTACCAAATGGCACAGCAGACCTCTCCTGACTCACCCGCTGCTCTCCTCAGCAGTATATTTCACAATCTGCCTGTTCTGTTCCCCACTCTGTCTCTGGAGAATCCTCTCACCCCTGCACCTCTGGCCTGTACCCCAGTTCTTGTATGCATAAATATTTTTAAAAAAATAAATGGATTACTGGCATTATCTCTGGTATTTTCTCATAGCCCAAAGGTTGGTGCCTATGACTTTTATCTTACTGTGAGAAAACTGTAGCTAACAAAATGAAATTAACCTTTCTAGATCACCCAGGACTGGGATTCATGCCCAAGATGAATTTATTCCAGACCCCAAATGCTTACCCCTATCCTTTACCCTCTACTCCAAGTCGGGATCCATTTTTTTTGTGTGTGTGGGGGGGTGTCAAAAACCGGCATTTTCCAGTAGCAACATAAAACCTCTAGTACATATCTCAAAAGTGAAACGTGGCATTACAAGGTTATTCAAAGACTAAATTACTGCGTCCATGAAACGTATTAATCCCTTCCTAGTTCATGGTACTCCTGAGGTTCTGAGGTTCCGGAATGGGCGTAAGTTTGAAAGCATATGATGACAGCGCTCTTCAGACGGCGGGTGTAACTCTGTATCTTAAAGTATAAATGTTGTAGAGCAACCCCGATACAAAATGGGGTGCCTGACTGTGGGTCCTCACCCGCGCGCTTAAAAGGACTTAGCAATGCTCTACTGCAGGCACACACGAAAGGTTAATAAAAGGTTTATTGACAAAGGAAGGGGAAATGAGGAAATGTACAGCTCAGGGAGAAAAGTGGGAGACAAAGTTTTAAATGCGTCCTACCCGATCCGCCGATCAGGAATCCCAAAATGGCGCTCTGAGAGCTGCCGCCAGCCAGGAGCCATGAAGCCAGGAGGCGAGGGACAGCGAGCCAGCCCAAGGCCCACGTGTTTGGTTTTTCATATCCAACCTGGCTGCCCAACTCCACCCTCAGGTCCCAGCCACCCTCCCTTTGATGGTGATGGGATTTGTGTTTCCCAATGTCCTGATGGCTTTAGTCTGGAGTGGGGCTGGGGTCCACAAAGCCTGTATGGGATTAGCTCAGGACATCCTTTCCCCCTAACAATTCCCCCCTTTCACTTTTTGCCACCATTTCCATGGTGATGAAGATCAAACATATGGATGCTGGGATATAGTCTCAGATGAAAACTTTCCAGGGTTACAGTGTGAAAGAAAACCTTTTATGAACCTTTCGCGTGTGCCTGCAGTGGAGCATTAAGTCCTTTTAAGCGCGCGGGTGAGGACCCACAGTCAGGCACCCTGTTTTGTATGGGGTTGCTCTACAACAGTTATGGCTTTAGTCTGGGGCGGGGGTGGGGTCCACAAAGCCTGCATGGGATTAGCTCAGGACGTCATTTCCCCCAACATAAACTGCTTTGGTTACAGGTTAAAATCTGAACCGAGACCCCTGAACATGTCCTCCTGGCGGACATGCCCTGATGGCCCGTAGCTGGACTTCCTTCGGGCTCCTCGCCCAGCTTCGGCCCACGGTGACGTCAGGACTGAGAGAGGACGTCACCTGGCAGCTTCCCGCGTGATGTCACAGCGGTGTGACATAACCAGGGCGACGACCCCACAATTCCCGGCCGGTATTCGAGTTACCCTCCCCGTCAAGCACTCACTTCTCCCCGTCTTCCACGCCCTGGGGGCCGCGGCTCTGGAAACGGGGACACAGCAGCCGGCCGGCGCCGAGGCTCCGGCGCAGGCCAAGGCGGCCAGCGGGGCCCCACGCAGCCATGCGTCAGGCCTCCGGTCGGGGCTGACCCCGCCAGGCTCCCGTCCGCGGCCCGGGGTGACTCCTCCTACAGCCGACCGCGCCACCGCGCAGCCTCGGCTGCCCATTGGTCCGCCACTCTCGCCTCAGGGCGGGACACCCCAGGACTTGTTTCCCATTGGTTCAAGGAAGGAACTGGGCGGGGACACCTGTGGCGGCTCGGCGGCAACACCCATTGGCTGACGCGCCAGGCGCTCCTGCGCTCTGATTGGCCGGCTGGGAGGAAGCGGCTGCCCCCGCCCGAGGCGGCGCTCGGGGGATGGAGTCCCCGGCCCTGGGGTCGGGAGCGGGAGGCAGGCGGCAGCGCAGACGCCGGGCCCGCGGCGCGGCAGCAGGTGGCCTCAGGTCCGAGACCGAGATCCTGCACGGCTTTTGGTCGGCTTCTCTCGCTCGGCTTCTCCGCCGCTGAGACCCGCCCTGCAGAGTCGGCGCCCTGGGACCTGGCAGGCGGGGTTCGGAGCTCGGGATCCACAGCAGGTGCCGGCGCGGAGCTGCTGCGCCTGCCGGGGAGGGACCCCAGCCCCCTTCGCTCGTCGTGCGGCTCGTGTCACACACCGTGAGCTGGTGGGTAACTTTGCATTATTTCTAGAATTGCAAAACGCGCACGCCCGTCGATCCTGCAAGTAATTTCCAGGACTCTGGCTCGGCCAGCGCTGCCTCCCTGTGCCCACAGGGGAGTGGCAGCGGCTTCCTGCAGGCGGCTTGTAATTTTGACACTTTGGAAAGAGCCCGAATGCCCAGGAAAGGGTTCTTTCTCGTCCACGATTTCGTTTTATGGTGCTTGACGATTTGCTTCTACCATTAGTAGCTGTCAGCGCTGGAAGCAAAAACAGAGCCAGGAATAAGAATCAGTAATTGCAAAAATGCAGTTGCCTACGATGTGGCAGGCATTGCTTTTTCTCCTTGTTTAAATTCAATTTAACCTTCCCAGTGACACGTTGAGATAGGGACCTTAACCTTTCCAGCCACCTGTGGGGGTAAGCACAGGTTTTGTCTCATAGAGCCTGTGGGGAAAGCAAGTTTAACAGCCATTTAAGTGAGTTGGCTGAGGTGACATCAACGGGGAATGGAAGAGTTGGGATTTGAACCCGGTCTTTCTGAGGTATTTAGCTGACTGCTGCACTGCACTGCCTTAGGGCGCATAGCTGATGCAGGATGGTAGTTGCCTTTTGTTATGATAGGCTTGCACTAGATGTTCTCTCAGAGTTCTGCTCTAAGCTCTAGGGAATCTTATTTCTTTTTTTTTTTTTTAAAGATTTATTTTTATTTATTTATACAAGCACTGGGTACAGTCAGAAGTGCGGGAAGGTGAGAGAATTCACCAGAGCCAGAGCGGGGAGCAGAGCAGGCAGAAGGACTGAAGTACACTGCTGAGGGGAGCAGCGGGCGGCAGGAGAGGTCTGCGCGCCATGTGGGACCCTCCTACAGTGGCCGGGGAGCAGCCGGGGATTGAACTGGCGCTGCAGAGGCTGTGGGCAGCTTCGCAACCCAGCGCTCAACCGCTGCGCCACCGGGGAGGCCCTAGGGAATCTTATTTCTCTTGGCCTTTCCCTTTCAGGATTCCCAGGAACCATGGTGTCGGAAGTCCTGTTGGTGTCTGCTCCAGGGAAAGTCATCCTTCATGGAGAACATGCTGTAGTCCATGGCAAGGTAAGAGGCCCCCAGGATTGGATACCCCTTCTCCCTGATACGAATCTTAAAAGAGGCTAAAAGGAAGCCTTGACACATAACCTGGGAGGAGATCATAGAGGTAATGAGTTTCTTTTCCCACCCAGGCAGGGAAAAGAGGTCTTATGCTGACCGAAGGGCTTCTCTCACCTCTCACAGCACCATAGCAAAAAGATGATGTAAATCCCTGTGGGCAGAGCGATGCCACCTAGGAAGTGAGATTCAGTGAAGAATAGAAAGCCTTGAGGGTTTAGCCTGGGGGCACGCCAGTATTTAGAAATCAAGATAATGAGCTGGAGTCTGAATCATGCATGATCTCATTAACACAACTACCCTCTGAGGTTAAAGTTTAATTATCCCAGATGTGGAAACTTAGGCTTAGGAGAAGACCGAGGCAACTTGACTAAGGTCCCATATACCTCAGTAGAGCTCAAGTGAACCTGAGTCTGAATCCAGAGCTCATTGTTTCCCCATGCCTCCATGCTAGCATTCTTTATGTTCTAATCGGTATCCTGGAAGACATGGTGGTTATGGGGAAGCCAATCTAGAGTGCCTCTGAGGTTTTGCATAGAGAAGGCAGATATCAGTAGATAGGAACTTCTAAGTGATTGGTAGTGGTTGTGCCCAGGCTTAGTGAAAGAAAGGGCATGCCAAGGCTGATGAGCAGTGTCTGCTGAAGATATAGGCGGGAGCAACCTGTGTGCTAGTATTGCTCTCCTCTTCACATATTGACATTGGCCCTTTTTTCCTAAGACAGGAGCCATGATTTTTGCCATCCACTCTCAGCCTAATTGTTTTTGGCTTTTATTCTACAGGTGGCACTGGCTGTGGCCTTGAACTTGAGAACATTCCTCAGGCTTCAGCGCCACAGCGATGGAAAAGTGGACCTCAATTTACCAAACATTGGCATCAGGAGGGCCTGGGATGTGGCCAGCTTTCAGCAGCTGGACACGAGCTTTCTGGGTAAGTCCAGGGAGGAAGAACCGAAGAGATGGGGAGAGGGTGACTGGGAAGTTATTCTAGGCTGCCCCAAGGGACAGAGCCTCTCTGGGAGGGTTTTCTCTCCTGACCCTATAAAATTAGCTTCATTTATTTATTCATTTACTAACATTTAAAATCATAAAATTATGTACTAGATTTATGTGGGTGGTTGTGGACAGATTCTCAAGGCCTGCTATTGTGTGAAAAAGCAGAAGATGCAAAATAGCACATAGTGTAGGATGAGGAAGGACACAGATTAACTATCAGTATGTGTGTATACATAGAAAAAAATCTGGGAAGACATACAGCCGGCTGACCATGGTGGTTTGTAACTTCTGGGAGGGCCCTGAGGTCAGAGTGGACAAAGGGAGCCCTTACTTTCTGGAATGTTACAGCAAGAATATATAGGTTTCCCCGAGTATCTGAAAAATAGAACATTCTTATTTGATAGGATTGAGTAGGTTAGATTTTGGGGATCTGGGAATACTTAAACTTATCTTCCATATAAATTACTGATAATAGCGTCACTGCTGTTTTTAACAATACAGAAGTATTCCTCTTCTATTGAGAATTGGTTGTGGTGGTAGGGGACTGGGTATGTGGATTTTGAAAGGGGTTCCTAGGTATTTCCAGGAGCACCCTCAATTAAGAGCCACTGCTTTGGAGAATGCCTCAGGAAACAGCCTTCTAGAACAATCTGGACATTGCTTTCGCTGGTACACAGGGCCCCCCCAGCCAGCTAGAAATGTTCCCTGAGAACCGGCTGCTGCTTTCGCATGTCAGGGACACAGATGGAGGTAGCCAGGTGTGGTAGGGCCTGTGCCACACCACTCCTGCCTCTGTGTGAGCCTGGGCGGGTTGCTTAACCCTTTGAGCCTCTGTGTGCAGAGTCTTGTTGCCTGTGGTTGCTGCGAGGACCCAACAGGCTCAGAGGTGGGTATAGGGCGTGACGCTGGGTGGGACATAATTGAGCACATGTTACTCCCTGGAGACTAAAGAAAACAAGCCTTTTGGAGCTTGTTTTCTACTAGGTTGCCAGTTTTTTCTTACTTTTCCTCACTGTCCTTTTCCTGTCTTTTCTTTTGGTGTCCTTTTGTTCCCTTCCAACACAGGGATAAGCACAGCAAGCACATGTATGTGCCAGGCACGGAGCCATGTCTTATGTGTCTCAGCACTCTTACTCTCCATCCGTCTTCCCTGGGATTAGAGAATATGATGCATCCCCATTTTATGGATGAGAAAATTGAGATTCAGGGCTCAGGAGGCTCAGGTCTCACAGCTTGTCAGTGGTACAGATGGCATTCAGATTCAGTCTTTCTAAACTCCAAGGCCTAGGCTCCTAAGGAATAGTCCACCTTCATCACATCTGAACTGCCTGTGCTCTCAGCAGTACAGCCACTGGCTTGGCTACCTTTAAAATGTATCATTAATATGATCCGCACGTAGCACTTCATACGTGCCCCACCTTGCACTTTCCTAGCAGACACACCTAGCTCAGTTTCATCGTCCTTTTATCCCGGGACTGCTCTGTAAAGGTGAGCTGGTCAGACTGGCTCAGCCTCCCCAGCCCCAGGGGAGAGGCCCAGCCTGCTGGAACACCTTGAAGAAGTGCCCCTTTCCCTCCTGCCCTGGCAGATCTCCCCACTTCACGTTCACAGGCTAGGGCTGAACATCTTGCTCCTGCTAATTATGCTTTGGGAAGGGAGTGATTTGGGGAGTAACTTAAAACTGCCTTGATTTTAATTTGTGCTGTTGAGGTCAAACCCAGACTTTTGAGTGACTGAGCTGGCGTTCACTTCCTCTGTGGATGTGTGTTTTTAAACTATTAAGTCAAAACTTACTGTGTGCCAGGAGCCGTGCTGAAGATTTCATGTATTATAAGTTTATCTTTACAATAACTCTGTGAAGAGGTGCTGTGATTATCATCATTTTATCAAGGAGGGAAACTGAGGTCCACAGATTAAATCACATGGAGGGTTGCATGGCCAGTAAATGGCACAGTCAGGACACAAACCCAAGCCTGCCTCCCAAGCCTGAAGTCCACTCACAGACTCACACCAGGAATCCGCGTCCATCCAGAGTCTGTTTGCTGTGACCCCTCAGTTTGATTGTATTCTGCTGTCCATAAAAGCCCCCCAGGCCTCTCACCCTTGTGCTTGTTTGCTTGTGTGACAGAACAAGGTGGCACCACAGTGCCCACCCCTGAGCAAATGGAGAAGCTGAAGGAGGTGGCAGGCCTGACCGAGGACTGTCCCAACCACGAGTGCCTGGCTGTGCTGGCCTTCATTTATTTGTACCTGTCCATCTGCCGGAAGCAGAGGTGTGTAAGTGGGCGGGGGAAGTGGCCAGGGGTTTCTGGTGGCCACAGAATACACATGCTCCCTGCCTGGTTTCCAGTAACAGCTGCCACCAGCTGTCCTCACCAGGTGCCAGGCACCACGCTGGACACTTGATTCGCTGTCACAGCAACCTCTGAGAGAGACACTGTCCCCATTTTGCCCACAGAGAAACAATCAGAGAGATGGACACCTCAGACACACAGCTAGTTAGTAAGTGGAAGAGCAGGAAGCCAGCCAGGTGATTTTACTCCTGACACCCACATTCCTCGTGCCACATGGTCCCCTCTGGCCTCTTTGATGCAGTAGAAACAAAGCCCAGTTCTGTTCCGTGATTTGCTGTGCAGCTTCTCCCCCAGCTGTGTCCACCGAGACAGCCTTGTTCCACCACACAGACCCCAGGGTGCCCCAGGATGGGCAGAGCAAACCCCGTGTCTGCTTCCCTCTCTATGATGAGGTCTGGGTTCTCTGCCCTCGGGAGGTCATTTCCAGCAGCACAGTGGAGTTGGTGTCACCTGGTGCTGCAGAACTTGGGCTGGCAGCCAGACTGCGGTGGTCCAAACCCCAGGGCAGCTGCTTAGCAGTTTGCTTGAAGTTCTTGCCCTGCCTGAGCCTCAGCTTTCTGGTACTGACCTCGTAGGGGTCTCGTGAGGTTCAACGAGTTCATTTTATCTGAAGTGCTTTGCATAGAGCCTGGCATTGCTCGGTAAACTCTAACTATCATTATTATAGCTGCTACTACTACTACTGTCGCTGTTAATATTTTTCTCAGGCAACCATTGGAGGGTTAGAAATTATTACAGTCATGTGTTACTTAGCAACGGAGATGTGTTCTGAGAAGTCTCATTTTGTTGCTGTGCTACTAGCATTGTAGAGCGGAAGTACAGCCACGTAAGGGGATGGCCCACTGTGTGTCCAGCTAGGCGACACAGTCTGTTGGCACCAACGTGGTGGCATACACACTCCCTTGCTGACCAAGCTGTTGCTAAGTGACACTTGAGTAACTATGTGACCTGGGCCTAGCCCTGTAACTGGCACAAGGTGAGTGTCCACTATGATCTTTTAAATCTTGAACCCAGAGGCCAAGCCTCCGGGGCAGCCCATCACTGGTGCAGCAGGCACTGGCTGAGCAGGCACTGGTGCCAGGCCCTGTGCTTAGGACAAATTCAGAAACGTCTCAGTGCTTGCCATCCGACGCAGGGGTTTTCGACTTGCATGTTGCCTTCCACAGGCAGGGACAGGGTCGGGGCAGGTTGTGCGTTTCACAATCTGGTCTGGATGGGGTGGGCACTGTAGCTTACGAAAGGCCATTTCAAGTTTAGAAGGCAAAGCTTACAAAAGGCAATTAGAAGTTTGTATTGGAAATGGGAAGAGTGCTTCATGGGAATTACAGAACACGAAGCCTGACAGTCTGACTTAGAGGAGTTACACTTAGGATGCAGGAATTGTGAACGTTCCAGCTACCGGAAGCTGGCCTGCATTACACAAGGTCGGGCAGTGCTGGCTGGAGAGGCGTCCTGTGATCACAGTCAGGTGCTTGCACTGAGGCAGCAGTAGGAGGGAGATTACGTGCTGAGTCCTCCAGGGAGAGCTCTGCAGGGCCTGTGTGGGTGGTCAAGGGAGATCCTCAGGATGGAAATGACTTTTGAGAACTGGCTGGCAGGATGGGTGGGAACTTCTCTGGGGGATAAAGAGCAAAGCTATTCCAGGCAGCCTGTGCCAAGAGCAGGCCATGAAGATCCTCGCTTGTGTGGGAACAGAAAGCATTTTTGAGAAATGCTTGGGGGTTCCCGAGGCACTTTTAGGGAAAGCTGTGGTTGGACAGTGTAGTGATTTCACTGAATCTCCTACCTGTTTTCTAGTTGTCTGATTTAAAATGAGCTCTTGCTGTCGCACAGGGTCACCTTTGGGGTCAGGAAATCTCCCTAAGTTTAGAGAACAAAATGCCCGGAGTCAGGCCCTGTGCATGGCCCGTCCTGGGCCTCAGCCACTGGCTCAGTGTCGCTCCCCTGCTGCATTTCAGGACCCTGCCCAGCATGGACATCACAGTGTGGTCAGAGCTACCTGCTGGGGCCGGGTTGGGCTCCAGTGGCGCCTATTCCGTGTGCTTGGCAGCCGCCCTTCTGACCATATCTGGGGTGATTGCAAACCCCCTGAAGGACGGAGAGCCCGTCAGCAGGTAAGAGACCCTCACCTTGGTCATTGTCCTTCTTGAGCTCCTTCCATGAACGTGAGTGTGAAGCTCTCACTGAGAGCTCACCACCCTGTGAGGGAAGAGGTATCGCAGGGGCCGCTTTACAGTGGGGGAAACTGAGGCACAGAGCAGCCAAACAGCTCGCCCAGGCATCACAGTCAATGATGGCAGAACCCAGACCCAAGCTTTTTATACCTCTAATAAACAGCTTCACCTCCCCACACGCCTTACCTCAACCTTATCTCTTTGAGGTTCAAGTTCCTGTGGTGTGATAAAAAGAACTCGAGCCCAGTTGCAGAGGGTGTCGGGTTCAACGAGCCGATGGGCCCACCTCTGCCACTGACTCACTGCGGTTGCTCTGCTGGCCCCTGCGGTCCACAGTGTCCTCTAGACGCGGTGCTGCTGCTGGTGGGGCTAGTGCCAGCGAGTTGTGAACAGGTCACAAGAGCAATGTCTGTTAGATTGAGGGGACCCTTCTTCTAGGCCTCCGCCTGGCCCCCACCAGGGTGGTCACCTCTGTGGTTCTTACTGTGCTTCTTGGGACGGGGTTGCCCACAGGCTGTTCCTGTTGCACAGGGGATGTTAATGGGGACCATGCAGTTTGTTCCTGGCCCTAGGAGCTGAGGATGAGGCCTCAGAGTCCAGCCTGGCAGCTTCTTTGTGAGGCTGTCCCTGGGCCCACATGACAGGGGCCCTTCCTCTGGGGACCTTGGGTCCCTGTCATGTGGAGCCCAACTGTGCCCTGCTGGTCCCTTGTTTCCCAGTGCAGTAAGCAGAGTAGAACACTGGTCAGAAAGTGCAGGATGCCCAAGTCCATGTCGCCATGTATTTCCCCACAGCAGTACTCCCTGCCCTCTGTGCCCACTGCTGGCTCCAAGAGGAGCAAGACCCAGGGCCACAGTGTGCTGTGGCAGGAGGCCATTGTCGGGAAAGTCATGCAGTTTGCCTTTAACTCACTGTGTGGCCTTGGGCAACCCCTTTCCTCTGGGGTTCCTTTCCTCACCTAGAAAGGTGTGTCTGCCCTGGATGATCCCTTGCGAGGCTGCCTGCCTTGACATTTGCTGATCCTGGGATAAGATGGTGACTTGCTCAGAGGCTTCAAGACAGCTGTTCATTGCTCTGTGCTAATTCTTGATGATAGCTTGGATGGAGGCCTGGTTGTCTTGTTCCCCTGACTAGACACCTACCCACAGGCCAATGGAGGGTGACAGAGGCAGAGCGAGAGAAAGAGAGAGAGAGAGAATTCTCACCAGTTCTCTCCCAAAGACCTGTCACTCCTTCTTAGAACCTTCAGGGAAAGCAAACCCCAACCCCTACACTGCCCCTAGCATTTCTGAGTCAAAGGATCTGGAGCCCAGCCTCCTGTGAAAATTCTGTGCATCTGAACTTCCTGAAGAACAAACTGAGCAGAGCGGGAAGAGGACCCACACTTGAGAGGCCAGGCCCAGGCTGTCTCAGCTGCTGCCTCCCCCTCTTGCTCACTCATGTTGGGGTCTTGGAAAGGGAGCTCACAGCTTTTGTCCAGCTTGGGCATAGAATGCTCTCCCCGCCTGGCCTCGCTGACTCTGTTGTGTTCCTCGGGCCCCTCCGCCCTGACTCCATCCTCCAGCGCTCCAGTTAACTACCATTGGGCCCTGACTTCCCCTCTGTCCATGGCTTCAAGCAGCCATGGCCATGTCTGTTCTGCTCCCTGCTGGGAGCTCACTCATAGGCACTTAGTAGATGCTCAGTGATGAGTGAGTGAGTCCTGCTGGCACTACGGTTCAGTGGTTAAAAGCTTGGGCCTCAGTCAGCAGATGCAGTGCTGATGTGGCAGCGGGTAGCATTGTGACTTGGGGATGTTCTTTTTCCCCTGTGAGCCTCAGTATCCTCCTCTGTAAGAAAGGGGCTGGCACCATCAGCCATGCATCAGTTAACAGTGGGGACATGTCTGAAAAACAGGTGGCTCGGTCATTGTGTGAAAATCCCAGTATAATCACACACGGAGATGGTATAGACGCTTCCCAGCAGCCTCTGCGGTACAGCCCCGGGTGGGGGCGGGGGGACGGGGTGCCGGGGTGCCGTTGTCCATGCTGCTCGCCATACACTGAAACCTGGTTATAATCATACCTTCCCGAAGGGGTTACCGTGAGCACAACAGATAGTCCGAGTGGAAAAGCCTTTGGCACGACGCTGGCCACTTGAGACTCGATAGTATTGAGCAGTGTTAACTCAGGGTTAATCGTAGCTGCACACCCACCATGCGAGTCACGGGTCCTTAAAATTCTCATTTGACAGATGAGGAAAGAAGCTCAGAGGGGGTGATTGACTTGGCCAAAGTGCACAGCAGTTGAGTGAGTGGACCAGGCTTTGACTGAATCCGGTGACCCTGGGGCTCTCCCTTTCGGAGCACACACAGCTCCTGGGCATGTCATAAAGCAGCTGTGTGCTCTTCCCATCTCTCAGTGTCCCCTGTCGCCCCTGCTTCGAGGGCGGGAAACAGGGTGGGAGGTGAGGCAGTTGCTCTGGGGTAAGAGTGAGCCGGCAGCAAGATGGGGTCACAGCTCTTAATCCACAGTTGCGTCACTGAGCCTCAGCAGACAGACACAAACAGAACTGCTGGTGGCTGTTTCAAGGGGGAGGGAACCGACAGGAGGGAAACAAAAGCTGCGAGAGGAGGGCAGGGGAGTGGGGCCTCTCCTGGGCCTTGCTGGGTGCTCAGGTGTCCTGGGCGTGTTCACTCACACTGTTAACCATTACCGAGCCCACACCTCTTCCGAGGGCGGTGCCGTGCTGGCCTCGTGCTTGGGAGAGAGCCAGAGAGGACTGGTGCATGGGTCCATGGGTGTTTGGGGTTGCCCGGAGTCCAAAGTCACACTGCTTACATTTTGCCCTACACATAGGGCTCTGGGAAACATTCACACCTCCGCTTGCTCCCCTTAAAGGCAGCCTGGTCAGGAGCAGGTGCTGGTGGAGGGGCTGTTCCAGTGACACTGCCACCTGCTATTGACACCCTGCCAGGCGCTTCGCCCAGTTCCATCTCCTGCCGCTGGCCTTTGAGGAGGGTGGGGCAGAGCGGGGCTCAGAGAGGTTAAGTAAGGCACCCAAAGTCACCCAGCTGGCAGGCAGCAAAGCGGGACCACGTAGACTTAGAGCCAGTTCATCTTGATCGTTCTCTGAGCCAGCTGGGAGGGAAGGGAAGGCGCTTCGCACTCTGTGTGGCTGGAAGGGCCCAGAGCAGCCTTTCTCGTCTTTCAGAGTGCAGGAGCTCAAGCCCCTTCTGTTTTGGTCTTCCCCAAATCAAGCCCATGGCCCCTGCCCTCTGCTGCCGCGGTGACCCCACTCGCCTCCCCTCTAAAGGTGGGTTTCTGTCTCCTTCAGGTGGAGCTCGGAGGAATTGGAATTAATTAATAAGTGGGCCTTCCAGGGGGAGAAGGTGATTCATGGAAACCCTTCCGGAGTGGACAACGCAGTCAGCACCTGGGGTAGGTGCTGCCTTGAGCTGTTTTCTTTTTTAAAATTTTTATGACAATTGTAGGTGACCAGGCTCTGTTGATTTGGAATGAATAGAATCTTGGATTCTGAGGAAGTAGCATTTTCCTGTTTTGAGGTGCAGGGGAACAATCTCAGGGTTCTGCCCACACCTCCTGAATGGAATAGCTGGGGGCTGGGCAGCTACAGTTTCATGGAACTCCCCAGGGGTCTGTCCTTTAAGTTGCAGAACCAGTGCTGTAGAGTGTGGTTCCCCCTCCCCCCAGGACAGTACTTACTAGGCCTAGGTGGCGTCCTGGGCCTCACCTTCCCATGTGGCCGGGGCTCGTGAAGCTGGACAGTGGTGAGAGCGCCTGGGGCAGCTCAGAGCGCCCTCTAGCCCTCCTGGACCTTTCCTGCCTGCACTTGAGGCCATGAATTGTGGTGTTGGTCTGCTGCCTGGATGGGGTGAAATTCTAACCCCACCCCAGATCCAGCCTCTTCCCCCCGAGATTTCCCTACTGCCCTGACCGCTGGCTTTTCTCTTCAGGAGGAGCGCTACGGTACCAGGAAGGAAAGATTACACCCTTGAAGAGGTAATGGGGGCAGAAGTGGTGTCTTCTGCTGGGGGGGGCGGGGAGGGGGCCAGCAAGGCTGCGTGTCTCCATGGGGAGCTGTTTGTTTCTTTGTGATGCCACATGTGGGCCTGTGTCCCTGGGTCTCCCCCACCCCAAGATGCCCCTTGGGCTATTGGCTCTGTCTTTTTCTTCTCCACTTCAGCTCTTAAATTGCCCAGAGATTAGAGAGGGACGTCATGCGTGGCCGTACCATTCACCTTCCAGCAAGTGGCTGTCCCCCCAGACCCGGTTGCTTGCTCGTTCATTCATCCATTCGTCTGTTCATTTTGTAAACAAGAATGGAGATTGTCCTGTGTTCCTGGTGACACTGCACTAGGCCTGGGATATAAAGATGAATTTCAGAAGGGGAGAGATGGTGCGGGGGGAGACATGCACACATAAGCCACTGCAGACACTGCAAGCGTCGCCTTCCTGAAGGCATGCAGGGCAGCAGAAGACAGGAGCCCATGGGGGCGTGGTGGAGAGCAGAGGTGGCCTTTGGCAATTCTGGGCCTGTTTTCTGGGCTGCTTCTCCCCTTCTCTCCAGAGTAACTAGAATTAGGAATCACAAACACAGTCCGCTTCAACGTCCTTTGTCCTGTTTGTGCTCACAGCAGATGTGTCAGACGTCAGGGGTTCAGTATGTGGCCGCAGGAGCAGGTGCCTCTGCAGGCCTTTCCACTGCTGGAAGGGCCTCAGGGTTCTCTCACCTTCTTTACTTAGTGTGGTCTTCAAGGTTGGGCAGCAGGTCCTGGCTGGCCAGGCCCCTCTGTGACTGGCTTGGTGACCTGGCATGCCTAGTGTGGCACCCGCCCCAGCTCTGTCAGCTTCCAGGAGCCTTGTGAGCCTGCACTTCTGAGCTCTTTATCAGGTTCTCTTAGCTTCAGCCTTTGACATTTCGGGCACATAGTTCTTGCTTGTGGGTGCCTCCTGGGCAGGGCAGTGTATATTTAGCAGCCAGGAACTGTTTAGATGCCAGGAGTGCCCATCCCCCAGCTGAGGCCAGCAAAAGTGCCTCCAGACATTGCGCCTGTCCCTGGAAGCAGAGCCATTCAAGAGTGAGGCCCAGCTTCCTCGCTGCTCAGAACATGTGGCAGTGGGGCTTGGGGCCCAGGTGGGCACTGGCTGTGCCAGCTGGGCTGAACCCACGTGGAGGAGGAGCTGGAGGGGATTGTGAGCTGGGCTCACATGCCATTGGAGGAGGTGGTTATGACCACCATCCTCTGATCGAGGCCCCCCACAGGGTGTTGAAGCTGCTGTGGATGACAGCGAGGTGTCCTAGGTTGGGCTGCAGATTTGGGGCATTTGTCATGAAGGCTGGCATTTCATGCTGTTTCTAAGAGCCATGAATCTCCTAAGCACTGAACTGGGCATAGTAAACCAATGAAGATATGGTCTGGCTATGGACACCACCTACTAGTATCTACATCTACCTGAACTGAGCACTGAGGGGTTCCAGTGGTGGAGGCCAGGGCAGAGGTGTGCTCAGGAGCAGTTGGTGGTGTGTGGGGGGCAGGGGCTCTGGGGCCTGCTGTCCTGGGTTGGCGCCAAGTTCTACCACTTGAAAGTGGGTGCCCTAGGGTGAGACTTCTCTGGATGCCTCCATTTCTCATTTATATAATGTCTTCCTGAGCATGAGTTCAGGAATGTTATCTATAGAGTGCTTGGCTTGTTGCTGACCACATTTATTTACCATTTGCACAAATACTATTAGCAACTATTGGGTGCTAGGCACTTACCAGGGAACAAAATTGTCCATTTCTCAGTGGAGACAACCAACAAATAGATTGGTGTATAAGGCGTCATAATTGACTTTAGGAAATATAAACAAGGGAGGGCCTGGAGAGTGAAGGAGGGAGCTGGTTGATGGGGTGATCAGGGGTGGCCTCTAATGAGATGTCATATGAGCAGAGACCTAATTACATAAGGTTGGGGGGTCACAGAGCCAAGGAGGATGAGGTCAGCCCCCTGGCAGAGGAACTGCAAGTGCAAAAGCCTTGAGGCAGCAATGTGGCTGGTGTGTTGAACAGCAGCCAGCATGCCAGGGTGGCTGAGTGGAGTGAGTGGCCGGGAGGGGCGGAGGGGAGAAAAGACCAGCATAGGCACTTAGATAAGGGCACAGCCCTGGCAGGCAGTCACCAGACATCCTAGGAGCCCTGGGTTCACGAGCTTGGCAGGGCTGGCAGCAAGCCTGTTTACAGAGGACTTGTCTGAAAAGGATGAAGATGCAGGACCCAGCCTCCTCCCACCCCCATGGAGGGGACCCAGAGCAAACTGACCTTCACTGCTGACCGCAGGGCACTGCAGTGAGCAGATGGCAGATTCTCTGAAAAGCCGGGGGGCCAGCCTCCACATTAATCCCAGCGATGGCGGCTTAGAGAGGAGCACTTTCCCCCAACCACGCATGGTGCTTCTCCATAAAAAAGCGCATTGTTTGCGAAGTAGATCACGATGGGGCCTCCCAGATCGCTGCCCTTTTGAGGAGCAGCTTGTCTTTAAAGGGAAGAGAAAAACCAAATAGAATGTTCATCTTTTGTAAAGATTAAAAAAGGGGGGGGCAGCCTCCAAGGCTGAGAATCGATATTAATTTCATGGGCTCCTGGGCGGTGAGATCAAGCAGCGTTCAGGCCGCGTTTTCCAGCCCTGTTGGATTTCACAATCTTGAACTGTGAAAAGAAAAGCATATAGAGGTATTGGGAGGTCTGTCTGGCTCCAGCTGTCTCGGGCCAGAGCTCTTCCAAATCCCCCACCCTCTGTCTCGGGCCTGCAGCGGGTGGATGACAAGAAGTGGTAGTGTGATCCCCAAAGACAGCTCCACACGAGGCCCCTCGGGATTGTGGCTTTGGGGAGGGAGGGGTGTAGAAAGCACAGAGGGCAGGAGAGGCCAGCGGGTCACGCTGGGGAGCCAGCTTACTGGGCCTGTGAGGGGGGCAGTTGACTGCCTCCGCCCACTTCTGGCTTGGGGCCAGGGTGGCTGGTGTGGCACCATTGAGGCCCAGCAAGAAAGGGCCCAGCATGCTGGGAACCTAACTCCTCGCAAGCTGCCCTTTCCTGCATTGACTACCAGCTACCCGGGGTGTCTTCCTTCCCTGTACCCCCTCTGCACCATCCATCCCGGGTCCCCTTGCTTTTTTTTTTTTGGAACTCCGCAGCTCCCTGGGATGTATTCTTGACAGAACCGCAGCCCCTTGTCCCTTCACTGTACCTTTAAGCCTCACGTTCTCCGCCCCTCCCGGTGGGCCCGGGCTCTCTCCTGTGAGCCCAGTGCACCAGTAAGCCAAGGCAGAGTGTCCACCTGCCAGGGCTGCAGGGAGACACGTGGTGGGGGGCAGGAGGCGCCCCTGACCTCCTCTTCCTCACCAATGTTGTCACCTCCCCGAGCCCCCACTTACTGCCTTGTATCAGGGTGGCATGAAATGCAGGGTGACTCCCAGCCCTCACCGCCCCCCTCCACCCGAGTTCACTGAGGCCTTCTTCACCCCGCAGGCCACCGACTCTGAAGATCCTGCTGACCAACACCAAGGTCCCTCGCAGCACCAAGGTGCTGGTGAGCAGCGTCAAGAGCAGGCTGCTGAAGGTGCTTCTTCCTCCGCGCGCGCCTTCCGGGAGGGCCGTACAGTCCCCTTTGGGTGTTCAGCTCTCCCTCTGCCTCATGAGTGGGTGGAGGGATGGGACGCTAGGGGCTTGGGGAGGCAGCTTTGGCAGCAAAGGAAGTGCTGTCTGTGTCTGCACCCCAGCCAGGGGCGAGGCAGGGTGTCGGCCCCACTGCCTTTGCAGGAGAGCCCCGGCTTACGGCGGCACAGACCAGCAAGGCAGACGTAGGCCGGAAGGAGAGGAGGTTTCCTCCTCAGAGGGTGGGTGGCAGCTCCTTCTGGGCAGCTGTCCAGCGTCTGCCTGCCCCTCAGCCTCACCGGCCTTCCTTTCCCTCCAGTTCCCGGACATCATGGCCCCCCTCCTGACCTCCATCAATGCCATTTCCCTGGAGTGCGAGCGAGTGCTGGGAGAGATGGCTGCGGCCCCCACCCCGGAGCACTACCTCGTGCTGGAAGTAAGAGCCCATCTGCAGGGTCCAGGGCCCCTCGCTGCACACCACCGTCCACTCAGGAGCTCCCCATCTGACTGCACTCAGAGTCCCCTGGGGCTAAAACACAGAAGCCAGGCCTGCGCTCGGGTTCCCATGGGTGCATGCCTGAGCGCATGTGCCTTATTTTTGAGCCCTTGCCAGGCGATTCGGGTGATGAAGTGAGAAAGCATAGGAAAAGTGCTGAGGGCGCTGGTGAGTGCCACGGGCCAGGTGTGGGGGCCCATGTGTAAGGAATACCAGGGTATTGCTGACAGTCCAAACATCCAGGAGCAATTTCTTATCTGGCCTCTGTGCTGTCATTGGTAATTGCATTTGTTGATTCAGCAGTTATTTACCACCTGCATGCCTTGGATCGGGCCTTCTAAACTTGTTCTTTCACCTTCGTAACCCCAGAGTTGTGTAATTCAGAATTCCATAATTCGAAATTATGGAATTGCATAATTCCAGTATGGAGGTTAAGGCCTCACACTTTGATTTGCTCAGGCCAGGGTCTGAATCCCAGCTCCATCCCTACGGGCTGTGTGGTCTCACTGGAGTGTCTTAAGAATGCAGCGAGTTCCCATGGGTGACACACAGGAAAAATGCCTAATGAACCACCAGCTCAGTAAGCCAGGGGGCCCAGGCTCATCCTCAGACAGGGTCCATCTGGCCTGGTGGATGTGAGCTGACATTAAACAGCCATCTGGCTTCCCTTGAAGAATCAGAGGATCATGCAGCCCCTGCTGATGTGGCTGTGCAGCAGCAGGAAGTGTAGAGGAGGCTCCCTTGAGAGAGATCCTATGGGCTCCATTTTGCCACACTCCCCACAACTCCCCAATCTGGACCCACAGCTGCTCCCATCTTGGCCTCATGCCTCCCTGTGCTGCTATAGACAGTTGAGTCTGGTATGCCTGTAATGAATGGAAGCTACTATACCAAGACTATTCACCAATGATTTCTCATTAGATCTCTACAACCTGCCTGTGAAGTAGCCGTGTCACCACCACTTTACAGATGAAAAAGTGAGACCTTAATGAGAGAGACTTTGTCCAGGGTCTTCCAACTAATGAGTGGCAGAGCCACTGACTTTTCAGTTTATTCCGTGAGTGAGAACCTTCATTGAGCACCTACTATGTGTGGGCCAGGCACAGAGTCCCATCTCGTTCTGTGCTTTTGCCCTCACCCAGCGCCTGCCTTGCCTTGGCTCTCGATTCCTTTCACGTAGAAAGGAGGGAACACAGTCCTCCTGAGTAGGAAATTAATAATGATAGAGTACTGCCTAAAATATACCCTGTTGAGCCCCCGGAGAATGCCACAGAACAGCACGTTGATTATACATTGTGTGTATTTTTGGCTGTGGCAGCCGCTGAAATGTGCAGCTCGGCTCCCGGACAGCTTTGCACTCAAACCAGCGAGCTGCTCTCCTGTGTCACAACCTGTCATCTGATCCTTGACAGATTTTGGATCAGAATGTGACAGGTGTCTGGAACCTGCCTCAGCAACGTGACACCTGGAGCTCAGGCGCAGAGAGAGGCCCCCAGAAGGTTTCTTTCACATCTAGCCCTCGGGGCCGGTGTGAGGCTCTGGGGCTGCCACAGGGCCATCACGCCTGTCTGCTTGTTTGTCAAAAGTGCTGGGCTGTGTGAGGTGGGCTGTGGGGGGACCATCCTCACCCCGCCACCCCCCCCCAGTACTGGGCAGGAGAACCAGGTGGGCCTCAGCAGACAGCTCCGTGATGGGCAGCCCTCGTGTGCACAGGCGTGGAGCAGAGCTCACACTGTTAAACCATCTCTGTAAGAAGTGGGTGGCCGCAGAGTGCCTGGGCATGCTTGGAGGCAGGGAGACAGGAGCCTCTCGTCAGGCATGCCCAGCTTCCAGTGCTGGCTTGGGATCTTCTAGCTCTGTGACCTTAGGCAAGTCATTCTCCTCTGTGAGCCTCCATGGCCCTCTTTGTAAAAATGGGGGTAATGATCATGCAACCATAAAAGGCTGCCTATGCCTTTGTTATATGAAAGACTCCCCTCATTATGAAAGTCCTCACAGTGATGGGGTAGGTATTCTTACAATCCCTTCCTGATTGACAAAGAGGGAAACTGAGGCTCAGAGTGACAGACCTGGCTCAAGGGCACATAATCCCGAAGCAGCAGAGCTGGGACTCAGACCCAGGCCTGACTCCAGAGCTGTGTTCTTAACGTCTGGCCAGCAGGGCAGCAGCTGGGTACTTGTGCCCACAGCCCAGGCCTCCAGCACCAGGCCTGGCATATTGCAGGTATCCGGCAAACACTGATGAAATAAATGAAATTTAAATAGTGGATGCCTAGGCTGTTGCATCATTTGATCCACTTCTCATTTGATCCTCAGGAGAGCAGGACTTTTATTGTGCATAATTTAAGAAGCCTGAACAAACATTTAGCTATTTCTCCTACTCATGGCCTTGTTAGAACTACAAACGGGTTCTTACCCGCAAATTTGGACCTGAGGCGGCTGTAGGATAGCATATATCTTGAGAATTACGCAAATGGCACAAATTCATCTCCACCAGGCTCTAGCAAGGAAAGGAATTTATTGGCTCATGAGTTAGAAGCCAGAGGTATACCGCTTCAGGCATAGTTGGATCCAGAGGCCAAAACAGCATGTTTCAAAATCTCTCTCCATCTTGCATGTAATCTCCAACCGTGTGGTGGGGAGAACTCTGGCAGCCTGTCTCTCAAGTCAGCTAGTTTTAGCAGCTGTGGAAATAGACAGAAACCCAAGAGGGCCCTGATTGGACTGGCCTGGGTCATCTGTCCATCCCTCACCAGTCACCAGGGCCAGAGGCTTCTGTGCCAGACCTGGGCCATGTGCTCACCACCAGCTCCATGCCAGCGTGTGGGGAGTTCTTCAGGAAGGAAAGTCTCTTGCAGTAGAGAAGGACGGTGTGCTGGGTTTTATTCAGACACATGGAGCCAGCTAGGAAGGGCCTGGGACCTCAGTCCCAGGAAGGCCAAATGGGCTCAGAATGAACCTTCCTTCCAGGAGCTCATCGACATGAATCAGCACCATCTGAATGCCCTGGGTGTGGGCCATGCCTCACTGGACCAGCTGTGCCAGGTGACCAGGGCCCACGGACTGCACAGCAAGCTCACCGGCAGTGGTGGCGGCGGCTGTGGCATCACACTCCTCAGGACAGGTACCAGGGGACTGGCAAGGTGGCCAGCCTGGGCTCATACAAAGGTTCAACCTGGGCAATTCCCTGGGGAGGAAGGAGAGGCCTGTGAACAAGTCTCTCCTGTGTTCTGTGGCTTTGGACCAGTTCATTAGCCTCTCTGGGCTTTTCTTGCCTTGATAAAGTCAGGTTGTTAGTAACTAGTTTACAAAGTTGTCGCCCAGGCTCAAGAAGGAAAAGGCATTGGCAGAGGTTTATGGCATGGTGGCTGTTCCTTTTTTTTTTAGATTGATTTATTTATGCATACAAGAGCGGGGTACAGGCCAGAGATGCAGGAGGTGAGAGGACTCACCAGAGACAGAGTAGGGAGCAGAACAGGCAGACTGACTGAAACACACTGCTGAGGGGAGCAGCAGGCGAGTTGGGAGGTCTGCTGCGCCATGTGGGTTGCTCCCTGGCCGGCCAGGAATTGAACTCATGCTGCAGAGGCTGCGGATTGCTTCATAGTGTAGTGCTCAACCCCTTGCGCCACCAGGGAGGCCCCAAATAGTGGCTGTTCCTACCACCTCCCTCCCTGCCAAGACTCCCTACAAGCTTGGGAAATACCGGGACATTGGCATACCCAGGCTGGCCTCACCGCCCACCCCGCCCCGGTCACCTACCCAGGCTACTACTAAACAAGGGGGCTTCTTCCTGATCATCTGGAAAATAGCAGGCGAGCCATGGTGTTTGGAAGCCCCTGTGCTGGTGCCTGGCCCACAAGGAAGGGCTCCTGGAGGAGGTTCCCCTCCCACACACCCTGCCTGAGCGAAAGGCGCCCTCTGCCTCCCCTTCTCCTGAGCTCTTTGCCCGCGCCCTCTGGTCTCCTCATTCTCTCCTCTTCCTCCTCCCCTCTTCCTCCTGAATCCCCCTTTGGCTTGCACAGTGGCCCAGAGGCCGCTCTCTCCCCCTCAGTGGGGCTCCTGGGCCTCAGGAGATTGCCTGTCCTAATTTCAGCAGACTGACAGGCAGTTCCTAGTCCGGGGCCCCTGGCGAGGGTGAGTGAGAACCTGTCTGGAGCCTGAAGGGTGTGCCAAGTGCCATGGCAGGCACTTGCCCTCATCATCCCATAGGAGCCTCCCAGGGGCCCTTGAGGCCTAGGGAGGTGTCATTATTAGCTCCATTCCCAGGTGAGGAGACAGAGGCCTAGAGGGGGGAGGTCATTTATATGTGGCCCCATGTGACAAGACCTGGTCCTGTGTCTTGAGAGTCTGCTGCTCTGTAACCCCCTGACCCCCGCCCCCAATCTAGGGAGGGTGTGAGGCCTGGCACCCCCAGGAGGAAGACCTGGATCCTGGCCTTTTCCATGAAAGGGGATGAACATTCTCCAAGGGAGGGGACGGTTGTCACGGCTGACTTGCTGCTCTCCCTCCCTCCAGATATGGAGCGGCCAGAGGTGGAAGCCACAAAGCAGGCACTGGAAAGCTGTGGGTTTGACTGCTGGGAAACCAGCATCGGCACCCCTGGAGTCTCCGTGCACTCAGCCACCTCCCTGGACTTGCCTGTCCAGCAGGGCCTGGACAACCTCTGACATGAGCCCACGCTGCTGCAGCCCCAACAAGAAGCCACTTCGTGGATTATTCTGGGTTCCAGAGTTGATCTCTGTACTGGCCAGTGGGCACCTGCTACTGACAAGGGCCCCAACAGTGGCCGTGTGCCTCCAGTCCTGGAAGGGGGACCTGGAGCCTGCAGTGGACCGGGCTGCCCAGAAGACTCGGTCTGGGTTCTGCGTTTTCTTGAGCCAGCAGCAGTGGGACCAGAAACTCCCCCACACCCATCTACTTAGGCCTCTGCCTTTACCTTTGAACTCCCTGGCCCACATGGTTGGACACTTGGATGTGGGGATCTGGTTTCCGAAGCAAGGTGCCCTCTCCTTCCCTATCCCTGCACAGGCCCGGGCCCCTCCCACCTCCTCCAGGAAGCCTTCCCTGATCCTGGCAGGATGACCCTTGTCTCACCTCCCTCTCCACTTTATTCTGCTTGTACCACACAGCACCTTATGCCCCCGCTCTTATCTCTGGCTAGACTGTCCAGGTAGTGGTCTTTGCCTTCCTCCTTCCTCACGAGGTTGACTGAAGTCAGGGTCAAGTGTGCTTCCTCCCAGTCTGTATCTGCAGGGTCTGCAGAAAAGAGGGCAAAGGGGGAATAAAAAGGTTGACTCTGTGTTTACAGTGCTTCACTCCACACCCAGAAGAAGGGTGAAGATGAGGTAGACGTCAGCTCACCCCTGTCGGCCTCTGTCCCCGTCCCTGCTCCAGCCCCTTGGAGCACTCTGGGGGGTGGAATCACTGGGTTGTGTGTCTCAGGATAGCGGTGAGGTTTCCCCAGTGGCCTCGCTGGACAGGAACAGATGCCAGGACAGCGTCGGGCCCTCAGTCCACGAGCACAGCTCCAGCTTTTCCCAAAGAGCACTTTAAGTCTCCTGGCGCCTGGAATCACGTCACCCTCAATGTACAGACTTGTAAGCCACGGAAACAAAAACCTGCTGTGAGGCCTGGCATCATCCCTTCTGAAATTAACTATCTGGACGGGGAAAACAGACTCAACTGCTCATAGCCCGGTGCCCTTGGCACCTACCTGGCCCTATTTGAACTTTACCCAACCAGTCAGGTCCTGCTGAAATGGCAGGATCCAAGGAAGAACCCATGCGGCTAGCACATGGCTAACAAGTTCTGGGTGCTCAGGATCTGCGGGCAGGTCGGGAGGGTGGGGCCTGACTCAGTGTGCTCCTGCCCTCGGCCACTAGGGGGCAGCTGGTGCCTTTCCCACACCCTCAGGGAGGGTGAGTGGTTGCTGGCCTGAGAGCATCAGCTCTAGCCCCAGAGGCAGGCCTCTCCCTAGGCTCTGCCGGGGTCTCCCCCTGGAACATGAGAGCACTAGAAAGGATTCCTGCCCCACATAAGAATGGCACCAGCACCGCTAGTGGGGAGTTCCTGTCCCTGCTCTTCAAAGCGCCCACATGCATGAAACAAGACCAATTCTGAGCTCTTACGCAGGCTTGGAGAGTAATTGTTGGTCTTAGTCCCATTTTACAGATCCGGCAGCAGAAGCTCAGAGATGTTGAATACTCCAAGCCACACAGCTAGTCAGCATCAGAAGCAGGAGCCCAGCTAGGTTTGATTACAGTCTGCCCTCAGCCCTGTGTGCCTCTGCCTTGAAGGGGGGCAGGTGGAGGGGAGCACAGGTTGGTAGCAATTCTTGGCTACTTTCCACACTCATGCTCAGTGTTTCCTCTCGATTGTGACGTACTTGGCCTCGGTCCTGGGCCTGAATGTTTTTCTGAAGTTCCATATAGTGTCAACAAGCAGCTGGGGCTGAAAGGTACTTGATTGCTCACCTCTGCCTGGCTCCACTTCAGCTCTGCACCCCCTCCCCAGCCACGGGACCCCAATCCACCTCTGGAGTCCATGGTCTTATCTAGGAGAAGGAAGTAATAAAAATGCTCGCCTTAGAGATATATGAAGATGGAGTAAGAAAATGCAAATAAAGCCCTTGGCACATAGTAAGTGCTCAATAAATTCTCATCATTGAAATTGTCTGATTCTGAAAGATGGTCCTTAGGAGCCAAAGCCCTCACCGTGGCTCTCCCCAGCTTTCCCCCAGCACCTGCATGGACCTTAGTGCTTTGTGTGCCTTGTCCCTGAGAATCAGCTCCATCCAGGGAGCTCGGTGTCCTCACCCCCATTCTGTTGAGTACTGAGCCCCCGGGAAGGGAAGTGACTTGCCTGAGGTCACAACAAGTAAGAGGCTCTCCAGCAGCGTGGGATTTGAACTCAGGTCTGTGTGACTTCAGAGTCCTGCTCTCTCACTGTTGTGAACTGTTTGCTCTGAGAGATGACGCCGACCCCCTGTCCCATCCCTGATTGAATCGTCACACCCACCCCCTAGCATCACCTAGCTCACCCTCCCTACCCACTGGCCCTCATTGCTGCCCATGCCCTGGACCCCTCATGACCTTGCCAGTACAGCAAGTGTGCAAAGTGGCCAAGCTGCCCAAGAGCATGTGTGTCCTCCTCTCAAGGAAGTGTGCCAGAACCACCTTCTCTCCATCCAAGGAAAACCCGGGCTCCATTGAGAAGAAGCCACCACACTCGAAGTCTGTTAAAACTGAGACGGGGCAACAGCCTCCAACACCAACCAGATGCCTGTTTCAGTAGCTTGTAACTAGAATCCAAAAGTGCCAGGCTCGAGAGGGCCTCAGAGATCACACAGTCCAACATCTTCTTTGCTATTGATGGGGAACCAAGGCCCAGAGAGGGCAAGAGACCTGCCTAAGGTCACACAGCGAGCCACCCTTTGGTGTCTTCTCACAGCCAGGGCATCCCAAGTAGGGCACTGTGTTTGGAGTCCAGATACCTGTCTCAGGCTCTCTACCTGCTGAAGCCTGGCCTGGAGCAGGGACGCCCCTCTGGGCCTGTTTCCTCCAATGTAAAATGTCAGGGAGAGAGCTAACCCCCTCAGGTGCTGTCACACTGCATCCTGACAACAGCACTGTGGCACAGGCAGGATGGGCCCACAGCTCCTGGTCGACAGCCCAGGGCCAGAAGGGACTTGGAATTCAGAATCCTGCTGTCAGCAGATGCAGCCTGTGCTGCCTCCCCCCTGCCCCTGCAGGGCGCCTCCCAGGCTGCAGCACGAGGTCAGAAGAGCCAGGATCACATAGAATGGGTCTGCCCAGGTGTGTTGCTCCCCAGTGAGTGCTGGCGCCAAGCTCCTGGATGTCAAGTATGTCAGATGCAGGCTTGGATGATTCTCCCATTTTGCAGAGAAGATGCTTCCTCAAAGGAGACCACGGGGCCAAGAGGAGTTGCCGTCCCTACTTGAATCTCCTCAGTCTGGTTGGACGTGACCTCCTGGCAGCAGGTCTGGCAATGACTGAGGTCTCTGTCCGTGGGAGTGACAGGGCTCAGCACCCGCCAGTGGGGGTTGAGGGACAAGGCTGCAGGACACACACTGGGGGTGAAGGTGCTGGGCGCCACTACAATAGCTCGAGTTAAGATGTCAAACCATTTGATTTATTTTCTCTCCACCATGAAGCTTGTCATGTGGCCAGCAAAGCTGCAGGAAAATACCCCTCAGAGTCAAAAGGACCCACTTCCATCAAAGGGGAAACTGAGGCACAGAGAAGGCTATTCCTGCCCCGTGGGCACAGCGACCTGTGGCTCTGAATGCTCTCAACCCATTCTTTCCACCTCCACCTTTGGGGAACATTTGAGAAAAGTATGGTGAGCCCCATTTTATAGATAAGGAAACAGGCCCAGAGGGGAGTCCCTGCCCTAGACCAGGTGTCAGCAGGTGCGGAAGCTAGGCCTGGAGAGGAATCTCTGGGCTCCAGATACAGTTCCCTTCCTGGGATGCATGGCTGTGAGGAGAAAACCAAAAGATAGTTTACTGTGTGGCCTGAGGCAGGTCTCTTGCCCTCTCTGTGTCTCAGCTTCTCATCCACAAAGTGGCAATCCTCGGTAACAATGCACATCAAACCCTGGGCCTGGGGCCTGGTGTGAGCACCCAGTAGGTGAGAGCTGCTGTTGTTATCAACTAGGGAAACTGAGGTCCAGAGGGTGCCTTGATGGCTTGGAGAAGGGCGAGCTGGGATTGGAACCCAGCGTGTCTGACCCACATTTTCCATACCTGGCAAGGCTGTGGAGGGAGGAGACTGGGTGGCATTTGAATCAGAAGGATTCAACCAGGCTGCCTCGGACACCGTGGTCCCCAAGACTGCGGCGCTGGCCAGTGATTATCATGGGACTGGGGTTGGGGGGTGTGACTCTGGAGAAAGAGGCCTTATGTTGCCAAGACGTGGCCACATTTGTGCCCCCCCTTCAACTCTCATGGGGGGGTAATGTGCCACAGCCAGGCCGGAGTAGGGGACCCATATAATGGCCCTCTTGTCAACCCATATTGGCACCCTGGGCGCATGCCGCTGACCATGTCCTTGGCAGATGTCAGGAGGGCTCTCACTAACCCCGGGTTTTATCGCCTGCCATCTATCTGCCTCAGGCGAGTCTGCCGTTTGAAAGCATTCCCCGAGAGTCACGAGGACCTACTCCTGCCAAAGGGGAAACTGAGGCACAGAGAAGGTTGCACAGCATGTGTGGCCGAGCTGGGCCTCCAACCTAGGCCTTGTGACTGACCGTGGTGGTGGTGGGGGGGGTTAATCCATACAGGCATTGCAGGGGCAGAAAAGGAGGCAGAGGGCAGCAGACGTGCCATGCTTGCCCTGGCAGACGCCAGTGCCTCCTCAGTGTCCTTAGGGAGCTTGACCGGAGCCTACTCCCAGAAGAGCTGACGGTGTAGGCAGCATGCAGGGGAATCTTTGTGGGGAGCCCCGAGGAGAGAATCAGGACCCCCGTCTTCCCATGTGCCTCATGTAGTCGAGGTGAACACACTGTCAGGAGTCAGAATTTCTGAAATGCTGTGTGGCTGAGGTGAGTGTCTCCTCTCGGGGCCTCTGTCACCTCTGGTTTCTGAGCATATTACTTCCAGCCCCTTGAGAAGTGCCTGGGGCTTTCCACTTGCTCCTCAGCACCTATCTGAGGAAGGGTCTCAACCTCACCAACCTCCAGG